GAAAATGTTGAAAAAATTAGATTGTGCTATTTGGTGGTTTTAAGACGCTTGCGAAACAGACCCGATTTGTGGCAGTCGGGAGACTGGCTCTTCCACCACGATAATGCACCTGCGCACACAACCATCTTTATTACAGCGCAGTTTCACCTACAGTGCAGCTAGTATTTATAGACATTGATCCTAACTCTAAAATGATGTTCTTGAACCAATTTAGGAGCGGTACTTTTCAAGTTATCAAAGGGTCAGACAGACACACGGATCTGAGTGACATGGTTTTTCGTGATCTACAATCCAAAAAACATTATCTCAATGTCGATATTTCATCGAAACACTGCTTCAGAAATGTTGGATGATAGTGTATGCACGTACGTATGTCACCGACCTCCCATCGGACGACTGTACACATTGAGATAGGAAAAAATCGATAGTAACTTGACACACGAGCAAATCGAGCTGTCAATAATTCACGCGAAGGCGTCTGAAATGTCAGATTGAGCTATAAATACTGCTGGCGACGATGTCACTCTCCCTCAAGGGATGAATTCGCCAGTCTGGATGAATACGAAATTTATATTCCGACTTCTGGCGGTCAGAATATATACGAGGAGGCACCCAAAATTAACCGGAATAGCATTGCAGTGGGCGGAGCTCGTGTAGTACACATTTCTGCCCCTAGAGTGCATCCCATTATAGTCCAGGACTATTAGACTTTCTCTGCTGAAAAAAATCCCACCTGGCTGAATGTGAACAAATGGTGTTATTAAAATTGGAACAGAAATAATTATTAATGTCAGTAGGGTTCTTTAAATTTAGAGGAATATCGATATTTTGTGACTGTTGGATACGCATTGATTTTAAGGATCTATAAAACATTTTTGAATCACTTTGTTGAGGGAGCGATAATAAATATGCTGTTTTTTCATATCTAATTTTGCTTATAATCAGTTGTAGTTCATTTAAAAAAAAAAATATTTCTGAACAGAGAGAATTAGTCACGAAGCAACACGTGTTCGAGCTCAACGTCAAACCGTCTCTCCCTCCCGTTCTCAGAATCCCCGGTAAGGTTTCAAAGATAAACACTCACGGCTTAAGAGGAAAAACTGGAATTCGTTTTATTATCAGCGTTAGTCGATATTTCATGTTTTTAAATTAAATTTTATACGCGGCCGTGCTGCTGGGATCGACGTGACGATAAGAAAGACGAGCTTTTCTTTTTATTGAGTTACGGCATTGCTTGGCAATGTATACCGATGCGCGAAAAAATATACAAATGTTAATGAAGTACTGCGGAAACTTCAAGGGGTGATTTTGCATTTAAAAGTTAATATACGAAAAAGGCGTAAAACGAAAAAAACAAAAAAAGCTCAAACTTCGTAGTTTGGCGTTAAAGAGGATCCTGATCATAGGAGACAGGCGACGTTTCCAGATTCTAGGGCAAGGGAAGTCTATGGACTGATCGTATGGACCTTTTTGACTGACTTTTTCTCAGAGATTCTAGTTTGTGCTGAACATATTCCTTTATGGGTCAGAGTCAGAGTCAACCTCCTTGACGCCAATGGAAAGCCCTATTTTTGGCACCGACAATCAAAAGAACGGAAAATGAAGAGAAAAGTCCTAGAAGTTTAGTAGGACTATTGATGACCAAATTCAAGATCAGACCTTTAGTAACTTTTAACAAGGATTTCGATATTGATCTCGGCTATGACTTTGAGCATTACCTTGAAGGTCATAATAGAACATAAGAACGTGAAATTATCCTTAGCTTAAAAAAGTGACACTGAAATGACTAAAGTTACCATTGAAATTCTTAAAAGCAACTGAAAGAATATCCTAAATATATGTTTTCATCAATACTCCTACTAAACTGAGCATTTTCCCCAACCTCACACACTTCACCATAATTTGACCTTTATGGGGGACCTTGATCTTACATTTTAATCCGCATTCAAACGTAGAATTTTCCGTTTTTCCGAATGCCGGTGAAAAAATTGATCTTTCCATTTAAAAAACGAACGTTGGCCTTGAAATAACCTTGGACGTAAGTTTCAAGGTCAAATAGAAAGTGACCGTTGAATTAGTTGTTTAAAGTTAAAATAGACCCTTCAGAAACATCTCGCTCGAAAACGCAGATACAGTTAATAAGGCGTGTTATTAATAATTAAATAACACTGCTTTGAGACAAAATAAGCGTGAGACAATCTTTGAAGTCTTGTAAGAGAAGGTTTTATCTTTGATTTAGACACTTGTTAACCTCAAAGTAACTGTTTTTAATGGTGTTTTTAAGCATTCTAAATAGCCATTTTTTAAGGCTCTTAGGCTGTAAAATGTTTATAACTCGAAAACGGTCAACCCTAGGGTAAAACGCGTAAAACGAAAAAAATAAAAAAAGATCAAGCTTCGTAGTTTGACGTTAAAGGGTATCCTGATCATAGGAGAGAGGCGGCGTTTCCAGATTCACTAAATAGGGCAGGGGAAGAATGTCTATGGACTGATCTTATGGACCTTTTTGACTGACTTTTTTCTCAGAGATTCTAGTGTGTGCTGAACATATTCCTTTATGTACTGATAAGGGTCAGAGTCAACCTCCTTGACACCAATGGTAAGCCCTATTTTTGACACCGACAATCAAGAAGAAGAAAAAATGAAGAGAAAAGTCCTAGAATTTTAGTAGGATTATTGATGACCAAAATCAAGATCAGACCTTTAGAAACTTATAACAAGGATTTCGATATTGATACCGGCTATGACTTTGAGCATCACCTTGAAGGTCATAATAGAACTTAAGAACGTAAAATTATGCTTAGCTTAAAAAAATGACACTGAAATGACTAAAGTTACCATCGAAATTCTTAAAAGCAACTGAAAGCATATCCTAAATAAATGCTCTCCACTATACTCCTACTAAACTAAGCATTTCCCTAACCTCACACACTTCACGATAATTTGACGCTTATGGGGGACCTTGATCTTACATTTTAATCCGCATTCAAACGTAGAATTTTCCGTTTTTCCGAATGCCGGTGAAAAAATTGATCTTTCCATTTAAAAAACGAACGTTGGCCTTGAAATAACATTGGACGTAAGTCTCAAGGTCAAATAGAAAGTGACCGTTGAATTAGTTGTTCAAAGTTAAAATAGACCCTTCAGAAACATCTCACTCGAAAACACAGATACAGTTAATAAGGCGCGTTATTAATAATTAAATAACACTGCTTTGAGACAAAGTAAGCGTGAGATAATCTTCGAAGTCTTGTAAGAGAAGGTTTTAACTTTGATTTAGGCACTTGTTAACCTCAAAGTAACGATTTTTAATGGTGTTTTTAAGCATTGTAGATAGCTATTTTTTAAGGCTTTCAGGCTGTAAAATGTTTATAACTCGAAAACGGTCAACACTAGAGTAAAAGGCGTAAAACGAAAAAAACAAAAAAGCTCAAACTTCGTAGTTTGACGTTAAAGAGGATCCTGATCATAGGAAAGAGGCGACGTTTCCAGATTCACTACCTAGGGCAGGGGAAGAATGTCTATGGACTGATCTTATGGACCTTTTTGACTGACTTTTTCTCAGAGATTCTAGTTTGTGCTGAACATATTCCTTTATGTACTGATAAGGGTCAGAGTCAGAGTCAACCTCCTTGACACCAATGGTAAGCCTATTTTTGACACCGACAATCAAGAAGAAGAAAAAATGAAGAGAAAAGTCCTAGAATTTTAGTAGGATTATTGATGACCAAAATCAAGATCAGACCTTTAGTAACTCATAACAAGGGTTTTGATAATATCGGCTATGACTTTGAGCATCACCTTGAAAGTCATAATAGAACTTAAGAACGTAAAATTAGCTTAAAAAAATGACACTGAAATGACTAAAGTTACCATTAAAATTCTTAAAAGCAACTGAAAGCATGTCCTGCTTTCAACCATACTCCTACTAAACTAAGCATTTTCCCTAACCTCACACACTTCACCATAATTTGACGCTTATGGGGGACCTTGATCTTACATTTTAATCCGCATTCAGACGTAGAATTTTCCGTTTTTCCGAATGCCGGTGAAAAAATTGATCTTTCCATTTAAAAAACAAACGTTGGCCTTGAAATAACCTTGGACGTAAGTCTCAAGGTCAAATAGAAAGTGACCGTTGAATTAGTTGTTCAAAGTTAAAATAGACCCTTCAAAAACATCTCACTCGAAAAACACAGATACAGTTAATAAGGCGCGTTATTAATAATTAAATAACACTGCTTTGAGACAAAGTAAGCGTGAGATAATCTTCGAAGTCTTGTAAGAGAAGGAGGTTTTATCTTTGGTTTAGTCACTTGTTAACCTCAAAGTAACGATTTTTAATGGTGTTTTTAACCGTTGAAAATAGCCATTTTTTAAGGCTTTCAGGCTTCAAAATGCTTATAACTCGAAAACGGTCAACATTAGAGTAAATGCCCTTTTTTGTTTATAACCGCGTAATATTTCCAAAATCAGATGTTTTTTTTTGTATTGTGTAATCACGAAAAGGCATGTTACTAATTTCCGTCGGCTCAGTAGTAGCGGAGAAAAAGGACAAAAACGAAAAAAATAAAAATCTGTCAAACTTCGTTTTTTGAAATTTCATAAGATCCTGATGATTTTTGAAAATTTTTATGACTAAAAATTAGGGGTATTCACTCTTCTCTACGCCCTTATGTCAGGGTACAAGGATTTCCATAGCCGACAAACAATAGCGATACCAGAACGTACAGAAGTTGACTCATATACTAAACATGATGCATATACAAACTCCATTTTTCCAGAATTGATTGAAAAGTACAGAGTCAGCCTACTTGACGACCTGTTTGTAATTTGTTAAAAAACGATTAAATAAATTTGCATTGAAAAAAAATTAGCCGCAAAAATGCGATATTTTCATCTTGTCTAGTAAAAATTCATGGAATAAAAGTATTTGCGATTCCTGATATCTGTCAGTAAATCCACATAAAGCCTCACAGTAAAATAGAAAGGAAAAACTCACCGGAAAAGTAGAAATCCAAGGGCTGTCACGGCAGCTCGTCGCACGTCATCGTTCACATCCGACACCTGGAATTAGGTTTTTGTTATAAAGTCACGAAGACTAGATATAGGAAGTTAAACTGCGTTTGGGGACGACCGTTGCGGAATTCCTGTTCATAAATAGTAGAACTTATAAATTAACCTTAAAGATACGCGCCTACTGGTTGGTATACCGCGTGCGGACTATCCCATGCGGACCAGTGGTCACACTTGTATTATATTCAATGCAAGTAAATCTACAATTAGTTACATAACTGGCGATAGAATTAGAAACAACTCCAAAATTATCTAGTGCCCTTTTCAATACTTATTATTTAATTAAAAATAGTCAGTTCGGGAAGTCTTTAGGCAATCTGCGCGTGACGCATAACCTGACCCAAAATTGCATTCTACTTCACAGATTTGAAACAAAACATTGTGTGAAGATCTAATGCAATGTCTTCATCACGCACACATCTCACGATAATTCATATTATTCTCCAATGAAGTAACACCGATTACAAAAGCAAAACAAAACATACGTCATGTCAAACAGAGCGAAAGGCACGCGGAAAGAGCGGCTGTTCTGTCACAGCAACCACGTGATTTGCAGGCTTCCTTTTATTGGTTGGATCAGGGGCGGCAACGGCAGGAAGTTAAGACTTTGTGAAGTCTAGAGCCAGCGTTGCCGGCGAACGAATGCAGAGTTCCTGTTTATAAACAGTTTAACGTCAACCGCATGATTGGCTACGGTACGGAGCGGAACGTCGGAGTTTATAAATCGACCTTAAAGATACGCGTCCACTGAATGGTGCGATTCGGACCAGTGTATGCAAGTAAGTCTACTAGTAGAAAGATTTATGTAGCATGTTTGGCTACATGGAAAGAATAATTAGTAAATTTAAGCATATGATATAAATGCTGGGTAAGCTATAATTGTAGATTTAACAAGTGATTCATCAGTTTTACTTTGAATTTTGTCAACATTTTATGGTCTTTTATATGTATGTATAATTTATTATATTCAATCAACCCTTGATGGAATGCAGATTTGTAGCATATGTTATACTTTTTGGTCATTAAATGGAAGGCATCTTTATTCCTGATATTATGTAAATTATTCTATAACATACTCAATGAAACTATTCACAAATTTACACCAACATATAAAATTCGAGGAAAATGCCCAATATACTTTAAACTTGAAACAATACAAACAGTTATGAGAAAAAATAAGTATCTTAGACTATACAAACGTATTAATGATCCATACTCATATCAGATATTCTGTGACCTTAGAGCCAAATCAAAAATCTTAATTAAAGAAAACCTGGATGAATACATAACAATGATGGAAAACAATATATTGAACGACAGCCGATACTTTTGGAAATACGTTTCAAGTAAGCAAAAATGTCATGTCTCTATACCTAGTTCTATAAATCATTCAAACTATGAAGTTAAAACCAGAAGTGGGGTGTGTAATGCCTTTGCTGATTTCTTTGCAAGTGTATATGTTAAATCTAAACATTTTTATTTAAACAAGGATGCTAGTCCTATTGATGTTACCTTAATATCCATTGAAAAAATATATCAACAAATAGTGTCCTTAGAAATTAAAAAATCAGTAGGCCTTGACGGCATACCTTCTGTATTTATAAAAAACTGTTCCGCTAGCTTATGTTTACCACTTCACCTCATTTTCAAACTACTCGTATCATTAACTCAAAGAGTCTTTCCAACGAGATGGAAAGAAGGTGAAATATTGCCTATTCATAAAGGAGGCGATAGACATCTTGTGGAAAATTATCGACCTATCACTAAACTTTGTATTTTCTCAAAAATTTTTGAAAAGCTGATTTATGATCCTATCTTAAACATTACAAAAAATATCATTACGGAACACCAGCATGGATTTTTCCCTAAAAGATCTGTAGAGACGAATTTGATGAGTTTTATAGAATATGCCTCTCACGCAATAGATGAGAAACTGCAGGTGGATGTTATTTATACCGACTTCAGTAAGGCTTTCGACAAGATTGATCATTCTATCTTGATGGAGAGACTTGCTGAGGTGGGTGTAGATGGTCCATTATGGCAGTGGCTAGCATCGTATATAAGTAATCGTAAACAAGTGGTGACTATCAATGGGTATCATTCGGAGACATTCTTAGTAACTTCAGGTGTACCACAAGGTAGTCACTTAGGACCATTGTTATTTAACATATACATGAACAACCTTACTTCTGTTTTTCATTTCAGTAAATATTTATATAATATGCTGATGATCTAAAGATATTTACTATTGTTAGAAATGTAAATGACGGTGTAAAACTTCAAAGCGATTTGGAATCTCTGCAAAAGTATTGCATTGAAAACAGTATCTTCCTGAATTTAACAAAATGTCATTACATGAGGCTTACTAGAAATATAGCGAACACTATAGATTTCAGATATAAGATAGGGACGGCAGAACTGGAAAAGCTTCATGTAGTAAAAGACCTAGGGGTATACATTGATGAGGAACTCTCATTCATCACCCACGTAGAGCACATCGTAAATGATGCAAATAGAACACTAGGGTTCATAAACAGGACATGCAGAGAATTTACGAACCCAAAAACGCTTCTTTCATTGTACTACGCTTATATACACAACAAACTGATGTTTGCATCAGTAATATGGAATCCGTCTTACAATGTACATATAGTCAGGATAGAAAGAATTCAACACAAATTTTTGAAGATGTTAGCACATAAAACTCACCAACCTGTTACAGATCATCATTATACGCAAATTATGAAACAGTTCAATATGATTTCCTTAAAAGATAGAAGAACGATTTCTGACATTTGCTGTGTCCATAAATTGTTGAATGGCCTCACTGACTGTCCGGATCTTTTGGCAAACTTGAACTTTAACACTCCTGATAGAACGTTTAGAACCTATCATCTGTTTAGAATACCGTTCCGTAGAACCAATCTTGGTCTTAATTCCCCTTTGGTCAGGGCTCAAAAAAATCATAATAATTTCTGTAATTAGATGTATTTAACATTAGCTTGACCTCCCTGAAAAAGGCTTTAAAGTATGAGTATTACAGCTCTATGGCAGACTAAAATAGAAATGTTTTATTTTTTTACATAACTCAAGTTATCACCTCCAATATCATTTCTGGTATAATCTCAATTTAATTTTGATTTCAGTTTTAATTAAATGTAACTAAATGTTAAATTATGTATACTCCTTTTATTAAAAAAGTTAAGTTAATAGTTTATTGCTTATAATTAGAACTACTCACTCAGTTTATGTTGTTACAACAATATCGGAAGATAAAAAAAAAATATTAATATTGAAGTATTCAATAATGTAATATATGTATATGTATACGATATTTTATGTAAGTTTAGTTTTAGTTCACTGAGGGTGTGTGTTGGGTTTACCTGTTAACACCCCAAACTGTATATAAATAAATTACGGTCAGCATTTGATGATGTTAAATTAGTTAGACTTGGTATAAATATATTATTTTTTACTTTATAAATGAATCACTACAAGATATTTGATAAAAAAAAATGTACATTGGGACATTTTAGTTTGCTTAGAATTTGTCTAATTGGAGTATATTTATCTTTATTCGGTATTATTCTCATACATTTCTTTTGTAAAATTTGCAGTCTTTCAAAAATGGAATTATTTGCTAAATATAGAATAGTCGAACAGTAAACAAAATTTGAAGATTATATTATTATAGATAATTTTTCTGCTATATTAACTGAGACATCCAGAAACTCTTGATAAATATCCCACTTACTACTAATCTTATTTATAACTTTTTCATAATGAATATCAAAAATTAATCGAGAGTCAACAAAAACCCAAAGGTATTTAAAATTTTCTATGAATTCAATATCTTCACCATCAATATTTAGTTGAACATTTGTACATTGTTTTTTTCCGATTAACATAGCTTTCGTTTTACTTGTATTTAATTTGAGTCTGTTAGATGCTAACCATTTTGAAACAAGTTTCAAGTCTTCATTTATATAAGAGACACCAGTCTGAAAATCTGAATTTAGCTTTTTTTGACTATGGGTAAATCGTTTATATATAAAATAAAAATAAGTGGTCACAGGATACTGCGCTGTGGAACACCCAACGTATTTTCAATTTTTGATGAAATAAAGTCATTATTTTTTGTAACATGCATCCTTTTAGACAAATAATTTTTAAACCAATCTAAAACACTTCCTGATATACCATATGCCTTCAATTTACCTAACAAAAAATCTGTATCAATCGTTTCAAATGCTATTTGCTCTAAAATTAGTTTATTGCCAATAATCCGAGCGCCAAAATCACCTATACTTATTAGTTGATTAAAAATAGTCTGTTCAGGATAATTATCTATCACTGAGAGATTTTCAATGATTATTTACTACATAAAATCCGGCTGCAAACACTGATATTTTGGAAATAAAAATGGGTATGTATTTTTGAGAGAAAAATGAGTTAAAATGAAAAGTAAAAAATAATAGAAAATATGGGAAAACGGGTCCCTATATGGCTGTAAATCGGTGAATGCCCACCTTAGGATGGATACCTAGCTATAGCAAATTCAAAAAAATTGATATCTACTTACGGCAACGTGTAGCAGCTTCCTGACCGCCTTGTTGTGTCCTGTGCCGCAGTAGGCCATGGCGAGAGTGTACATGGCGCTCCTCCTCAAAATCGGATCTTTGTCTTTCGATAGGCGATCGACCAATTCGTCAGCTTCCTCGAGTCTACCGTAGACTGTAAACGCGATACCGACCGACAGACCGCGAAGGATTTTTTCGTGTTGGCTCTCTTGTGCGTACTGAAACAAAAAATTACATTTAGTCTCAGTTCTTATTTTAAAATACAAATTTTCATAATACCATGCAGGCTGTTAAACCTGGTCAAACTTCAGTTGATGATTCCTCAAGTTATTCTGACGCACAATACATCGGCAATGCCTGGTTTTCAACATAGAGTCTATCCAAACTTTTTTTGAAAATTATTTAAAAAAAAACTTGTAACGACCCCTCGAGAGAAATAAAATTAATAGAATTAAGTGGGAAGCTTTAGCCGCCTATGACCATTTTTTATAAAGCGTGTTTCATTAACGAATTTAGTTAGGTTTCTGACAATCCACCTGTACATGCTAGTTCATCAAACATGAACAAAATTGGCCGTAATCTGCCGAATTTGGGACCCTTGTTAACTTCAAAGTCGAACTGTACGCACCCGACTTACCCAGAAAACGGATTTTTTGAAAATCTCCCCATAATAAACCTTACAATGACTCTACAGCAAAATTTGCGGCCTTATCTAATATCGAAAGTGAATACCAATTACAAACGCGTCTTTTCTTACCGCATTTTGTTTTTAATCTTCTGGAACGAACTAATGCAAATTAGATTTTCTTTATCTTTGCGATTGAAATTCTTCCGGCAAAGAGTAAAAATAGATGGAGTAGAGGGTGAGCGACATTACAAGTAGATTTCCATTAAAATAATTCCCTAAGGCAGCTTGTGTACCCTTTAGTACAGTCAAGAGAATAGTTTCAAGCACAAAATCGACCAAAAGCAAAAAAGAGTAGAGCAATCCATATTTTTATTATGTATTTTTATTTTTATACATAATCCCTACCAATATCAACACACTTGTTCAGTCGGGGCTCCAGAATTTCAATAGGCTCGGGATATAAATTTTGTCGGCTGATAACACCTGTCGATCACTTGCATTATCTAATTTTGTTGTTTCAGATTTATTTAGCTTTAATGCTACAATGTCCATGATATCCATATTACACAGTATATCACAAAATATATTATGTCTTCAAGACTACATACTTTTATACAAAATTTCACTACTATGAATTCTGGTTTTCCATGAGATATTTTTTCAATTTCCCTTTGAACATTTTCAAACTGACACACATCATGATATCATTACTTAATTTATTAAATTCGTACAACCCCTTTTGAAATACTGACTTGCTCCTTATATTGCTTCTGCAGTTTTGTAAATGAAAGTCTATACTTCCCCCAGTAGAATAATTGTGGCACTCATTGTTCAATACAATAAAATTTTCTAAGTGATTTGGTAAAAGATGATTTTTTAACTTAAATATGAAAATGAAAACCAAGTAGGCTATGAACTTTTTGATATTTAACCCTTGTAGTTCTTTCAGCATAAAATTTATTCTAGTATATTTATTTTTATTTAAGATGATTCTCATAGCTTTATTTTGTAATATGCGAAATTCTATAAAAGTAATTTATTTTCTTGGATATTTTTGAAAGAATATATTCATAGTGCCCTTCCAATTTTAATTTACTGTCTACGTATATGCCCAAATATTTAAATGATTCGATTGACACAATTTTTTCATGATTAATTGTAAGATTTATCGTATTTTGATCTAAAGATTTTCCTATTAGCCTATATTTTGTTTTGTTTGTGTAATTAGTTTAAGTTTATTTACATTTAATCAAGTTATTACTTTTTCATATCATTATTTAACAGCTCTATTGCAGTTTCAATCTCTTTATTTGATATATAAATTAATGTATCGTCAGCAAATAGTATAATATATAAAATAAATAGTAATGGACCTAATTTGCTACCCTGTGGCACACCTGCCGAAATGTTTTTAATGTTTGATAATGTTTTGCCAATTTTAGTTCTTTGACTTCTATTGATTAAATAATGTTGTAATAAGTGCAAAACTGAACCTAGCAATGCAATTTCGTTAACAATTTCTCCCTGTCAATAGTCTCAAACGCTCTCTTAAAATCTAAGAGAAATGTTATTGTAAACTTTTTTTCATCAATATTTCACCTCCCTCTTCTACTACCATTTGAATTGCTGTTTCAGTAGAATACTTTTTTCTGAATCCTGCTTGAAATTTTGTCAATATCTTATTTTCTTCAATTAATTCAATGACTTGTTCATATATGATTTCTTCTAAGAGCTTCTCGACATCTGGCAGTACATTAATGGGCTGCATGTTTGTATATAACTCAGAATTTTGCTCTTTTGGAACAGGAGTAATTGTAGAACATTTTAATTTTGAAGGAAATTCGCCATATCTATTTAAAAATGTGTACACACACAGTTCAAAAATAAGAAGTGGTGCAAACGTTAAAATTTGAATCCGTAAGTGACTAAATTCCATTTAGGACAAAATTTTCTAAGAGCAAAATTGCAGATTTAATTAAAAATCAACCTTAAAACGGCTTACAGGATTTTGACATATGAGGTGTTGCTCATGACTTGGCCTATCCCCCGTTTCCGGGTTGTTTGTATTTTTTTAAAAATGAACTCGTCGAAGTTACAGTGTATTGATTTTGCACGTCAAAGGAAATCAACCCTTTTTGTAAATTCATTTGCCTCCTTAAATCCAACCTGTTTACCGGGCTATTTCTAACATCGCGCTTAGATGATTCGCACTCTTTGAAGCCCGCGTACCACGCGAATTACTTTAATTCTAACAAGATGGGATTAAAAGAACTTGAAAAAAGGCAACTGTACGCTTGCAAGGCATTCAACCGTGCCGTCGAGAGCCCGGGTCGTCCGTAGATTGAATCTAGAGGAGAGTAACGTGATGTTGATACGGTCACTTTGTATAGCCCAAATCGTCGGGGGTTTTGAGATCAGAAAATTTAACAACAGGCATGGTGGTAGCTGATAGTGGTAAGACGTAATCACACCAAAATCAGATTCACGACATCTCGGAATGTTTTGATGGTCGTAACTACGAAGGACGGAAATGGAAATTTTGTAAAGCATATACGGAAATTTCCAAAAATCGCTGTATTCAAGTTATTACAAAAGCATTTAATCAATAGAAGTTAAAGAACTAAACTTGGCAATACACTATCAAACGTTAAAAATATTTCAGTAGGTGTGTCACAGGGTAGCAAATTTGGTCCATTACTACTGATTTTATATCTTGACGATATCCCTGATATTTTACAACACTGCAAAATTCTACTATTTGCTGACGATACATTAATATATATAAAGAGAAAATGATCATGCGGAGAAAGGTATATAACAAAAAGTAGAAAAATAATGGACAAAATCCGCAAATAAGAGGAAAGTGGATTCGAGCAAAAAATAGGATAGGTAACCCGAGCGATACGTATTTCTGCTGGTTGGCTTCATCAGTCCCGAAATGAATGCACATATGAAACTTAGAAAATTTTATTGTATTGTACAATGAGTGCCACAATTATTATACTAGAGGAAGTATAGACTTTCATTTAAAAAACTGCAGTAATAATATAACGAGCAAGTCAGCAAGTCAGTATTTCAAAAGGGATTGCACGAATTTAGTAAATTAAGTAATGATATCAAGATGTGTGTCAGTTTGAAAATGTTCAAAGGGAAATTGAAAAAATATCTTATGGAAAACCAGAATTCATAGTAGTGGAATTTTGTATAAAAATATGTAGTCTTGAAGAGATAATATATTTTGTGATATACTGTGCAATATGGATATTATGGACATTGTAGCATTAATGATAAATAAATCTGAAACAAACAAAGCTCCGTTCTAAGAAATACGTCTCTTGGCTACGGATGTTATGTGATGGTACCACCCGGCGGATCTCTAAGGCGGGGCCAAAACGATATCTAGGACGGAGAGCGACATACCGACAGATAGAGGAGACCTTACACCTTCATGCAGCAGCAATTCATTCAATTCTGCAAGACCGTTTACGAGTAAGGAAGCTTTGTTCACACTGGGTACCGCATAGTCGTACGACTTGGTACCGAAAGATGCTGAAAATGTTTGATAAGGGGCAACATCGGTGTGTGAACAGCATCGTGTCAGGTGACGAGACTTGGCTCTATTATTACGATGTGCCAACCAAGGCTCAAAACAAAGTTTGGGTCTTTCATGATGAGGACACACCCGTAGTAGAAAAAAGTGATAGCTGCATATTTCAAATCGAGCGTGTCCTTTGTTTAGGACACACAGAGGACAGTCACAGCTAAATGGTATACGGAACAGTGCCTGAATAAAATCACAGTGTATGAAAAACCTGCAGCCACAGTGAAGAAAGGACACTTGGTACCTCCACCATGACAACACTCCAGCTCACCGCGCAAAGCCTGATGTGAAAACAATAATAATAAAAACGTTTATTGAGAAGAGGGTTTTATATAAGACGTTTCAACCCTTCCTTAATCATTAAAGAAAAAATAGATTAATAATAGACAGCCAAATGTAGTTAAATAATGTAAGGTACACATTACAACAAAAACAGGGTGCGTCATCTATTACTTTTTCTCTATTTGAAAAATCAACACGCTTTTTACGAGGTGAAATCGATTTTTTTTTATTGATATATGAAATTTGGTTTATGCCATTTATGTATGAAAAATAACATCAGTAATGTGACCACCGCGGCTTCGTTTACAGGAAAAATTTTCAATGACTTTTCCCAGAATAATCGGGTCTATGGCCGCAATTTTAGTCCGAATATTCCGCTTTAGGTCTTGAATTTTCCGGGGACCATTCGCATACACTTTTCCTTTCAAAAATCCCCAAAGCAAATAGTCAAGAGGTGTTAAATCGCACCATCTCGGGGGCCAACTGACATATGAATTTCGTGAAATTATGCGGTCTTGAAACTTCGTGTGCAATAAGGCGATTATTTGGCGAGATGTGTGAGCCGTTGCTCCGTTGATGAAACCAAAGATCGTCGGCACCGATACGATCCAATTGTGGCCACAAAAAGTCTGTTAACATGCCGCGGTAACGTTCCCCGTTTACGGTAATGGCTTTTTCTTCACAATCTTCTAAGAAGAGTGATGCAACGATACCACCAGCCCATAATCCGCACCAAACAGTCACTTTTTCAGGATGAAGAGGTTGTTTATGATATTGGTGTGGATTTTCTGCCCCCCAGAATTTGCAATTTTGCGTATGTACGTACCCATTGAGGTGAAAATGAGCCTCATCAGAAAAGAGCACTTTGACCGAAAATCCGTCTTCTCTTTCCAGCATCCAATTAACAAAAACACGCCGCTGTTGATGGTCTGCCGGCTTCAATTCTTGTGTTAGTTGGATTTTGTATGGTTGGAGGTGTAGTCAATGTGTAAAATCCGGAGTAAAGTGGTCTCACTAATTCCCAATTGTTGCGAACGGTGCTTAGTCGAGGTGGTTGGATCTTCTCGCATACTTTCACTCACTGCGGCTATATTTTCACGGGTATGAGCTGGACGAGCATGTTGGTATGGTCTACGACCTTCAGCTGAACCAGTTTCCTCAAAACGATTAACAATCCAACGAATTCCAGGCTCTGTAGGGCGTCCATGTCGGCCAAAACTAGTGCGAATTTTGCGAAAAGTATTTTTTATATTTTGACCGTTTTCGTAATAAGTTTGGATAACAAAAATGCGTTGTTGTGTTGTAAACGAATCCATGACTATAAGTGGCATACCTTTGACATACCACATGACTTTTGACTCACATGGTAACACATAAACTTATAGGTAAAAAAAAGTAATAGATGGCGCACCCAGTATATAAAAGTACACACTACACTTAAACTGTGGTAATGGACAAGTAAATACTGGAGAAAAAATATGTATTGACATATATAAAACTAAATGATAGAGCAAAGTAACGATTGCAGTACAACCATAGGACAGAAAAGATAATGTTTTGAGTGTAGAAGTAGAGAACCAAATAGTGACTTACCGCGACCATATCCTCGATTGCCGACGCGTTCTTTGAGCCCAGCATGACCATGCCCATGGCGATACCGGCCGCTTCGCCAGTGTTAGCATCGTCTTGGTACAAATTGAACTTCAGCTGCTCGTAAACGTCCTGCCGATGGGTGCCCATCGCGGCAAGGCCCAGGCCCAGACATCCGCCGTGTCTCACCATCTGAAACAAAAAATAATAATTTTAATATCACACGCCACCGGCCCGATTTTCAAAAACCACAAAGCTTGTTTGTCCTTGGCATGCTGAAAACTTACTCAAAATCCGAGTAGTACTTCTCAAATTATAGTCGGACCAAGGATTCGCGGTACAGGCAAAACGACGGAAATGAGTGACAAAACAAAAAAAAATCAGAAGAACCAAGACAATCCCTCACCTCATTCTGCGAGTCCTTCAGCTGTCCCAACAGATAATCTATGATGTTGGCCCCATGATTGGCATGGATGAGCCCCAATGCGTACAAGCCACCGCCCTCTGAGTAGCCAGAGCTAGGCCCCACTTCCTTAGGCAGGTAACTTTGCATCAGCGTCAAAGCTTCTTGCTCGTGACCCCGATGGATCACGCCCAGTGAAGCTGTGGCCGTCAATTTGGCCCAATTTGTGGCCCGAGCTAGCCATTCTAGGTTGTCCCTGAAAGAAAAACAATACGACTATGAAAACACGTTTCACAAGTTTAGAAATGTAAGACAAAGTAATGAACCTATTAGATCTACCAATATATTACTGACTGATTAAAATTGCGCGCCATTTTTGATAGCACTGGTCAACACTGGTTTTGCCACACGAACTTTGACAGCTAATTTTGTTTTATCAGTCTACCCTCATTATTACATGACAGCTGTCATATGTCTATTAGCCTCATATTTGTTGTGATACGGTAATACTCATAACTAGTACTAGGGCAGTAAATTTACAGAAACGCTTACAAGTAAATCCTTATAAAAATATTTGTTGTTGAATTTGAACACTTTTTTGTGATTTATTAACCCTGTGAATATGTTGAGGAAGTGTAATAATGATCCTAACTCTTTTTGTTATGTCTGCGGACAACTAACATTCAAAAAACAACGACGACATTTTACGAATCTTGTGTTGGAGTGTTATCACCAATGTTTTGGTTTTTCTGTCGCCCATCAAGACAAATCCTGGGCCCCTCATGTCTGTTGCATAACGTGTGTGAAAAATTTAACTGACTGGAAGAAAGGTGCACGACCTATGCCGTTTGCTGTACCCATGATATGGGCTGAACAGCGAGATCACGTTTCAGATTGCTATTTTTGTCTCACAGACATAAAAGGTATAAATTACAAGAAAAAAACCACAGTTATTTACCCTAACTTATCTTCGGCTATAAGACCAGTCTCTCATTGTAAAAAATTGCCAGAACTAATACCAGTTGCAACTACGTCTGTTGAGGACAATCCACAACCGTCCACTTCAGGTGAATGTATTGACGAGGACGATGACTTTGAGTTAAAAGGAATTGTACACGAGCCACATTTGATAACTCAAGGAGACCTAAATGATTTGGTTCGGGATTTAAATTTGTCAAAAAAGCAGTCAGAACTATTAGGATCACGTCTAAAAGAATGGAATTTGCTACATCATAATACAAAAGTTAGCTATTTTCGAAACCGTGATCAACACTTCAGAACGTATTTTTCTCAGGATGGAGATTTGGTGTTTTGCAATAACATAAATGAGATTATGAAAATGTTGGACATAGATTTTGATCTCTCTCAGTGGCGTTTATTCATTGATTCTTCGAAAACAAGTCTAAAAGCAGTGTTACTGCATAATGGAAATAAGCTTCCGTCTGTATCTCTGGCCCATGCTGCAAATATGAAAGAAACCTATGAAAATATGAAACTTTTAGTTGAAAAAATAAATTACAGTACATATTCCTTCAACATCTGCGGTGATCTTAAAGTTGTTGCACTATTACTTGGACTTCAGCTGGGTTATACAAAATTTTGCTGCTTTTTATGTGAATGGGATAGCCGAGACAGAACTAATCACTACATAAAAAAAAAACATGGCCTACGCGTGCATCGTTAGTTCCTGGGCAAAAAAACGTAAAGTATTTACCCCTTGTACAGCCAAATAATGTGCTTCTACCACCATTGCATATCAAATTAGGATTAATAAAAAATTTTGTGAAGGCAATGGATCGCAATGGGAGTGGATTTTTGTATCTAAAAGAAAAATTCCCTAAAATAAGTGATGCAAAGATAAAAGAGGATATTTTTGTTGGCCCTCAAATTAGGGAGTTGATAAAAGATTCAAGATTTGAAGAAAAATTAAGCGATTTAGAAACATCTGCATGGAAGGCTTTTAAAAATGTTGTTGCAAATTTTTTGGGTAACCACAAGAGTGACAGCTACAGAGAGTTGGTTAGCGAGCTATTATTGTCATATCAAGCATTGGGTTCCAACATGTCACTTAAGATCCATTTTTTAGACTCGCACCTGGATTTTTTTCCTGACAATATAGGGGCTGTCAGCGACGAGCACGGTGAGAGGTTCCATCAGGACATTTCTAATATGGTAAAGCGGTACCAGGGCCAATGGAGCCCAAATATGTTAGTAGATTACTGCTGGACAATTAAAAGGGACCAACCAGAAGCTAAATATTCAAGAAAATCTTAGATTATTAAGTCATTTATAAAAAAAAATAACTTTTTTTTGTCTAGCAAATTTTTTTAACTGTTTATTTTTTCTTACAATCACCAATTAAAGTAAAAAATATCAAAAAAGTCCGTGTGGCACGACAAAGTTAAAATTTTGTTGACCAGTGTAGTAGGTGGCGCCATAGTAGTTATTTAAAGCATATGTGTCCAATTCATCATGGAGTGCTACATGATCCCACAATTCGTCCGTATTGTTAAAACGGTTTACTTAAATAATGAGTCGATTGTTGCAACGATTCGGAAGCTACGACAAGATATCGAACGAAATAATGTGACAAGTGTCAACACCATTCGTCAGTTGGTGTGGACATTTTGTACAAACAGGTGAAGTTAACGACTTGCCGTATTGGAACTGTTCGTACTCCGGAAAATGTCGAGAGAGTTTGTGAAAGTGTAGTGGTGCGCCCTGAGACGTCTACCAGACATCGTTCTCAAGAACTGGGTATTCGTCGCCCGTCATGCAATATTGCAGCTTAATTCCCAAAATAACGATTTTTACCGACAACTGATAATGACTGATGAAGCCCACTTCGATATAACCGGATTTGTTAATAAGCAGAATTGTCTATCTGGGCATTAGAGAACCTTTGTGTCATCCATCAAGGACCACTACATCCTCGTCAAGTCACGGTTTAATGCGTTGTTTGGTATAGAGGTGTCATTTTGCCATACTTCTTTGAAGACGCTGCCACTGGCCAGCGTTACCGTGATATGGTGCAAAACTTTCTGGCTCTCAAATCCGACAATTTAATCTGCAAGACATGTGGTTCCAGCAGGACGGAGCAACTTATCACACAGCTACGGAAATAATGAATCTATGCGGGACTTTTAATTTCTCGATTTGGTGATGTCAACTGGCCACCAAGGTCGCCGGATTTAACGGTTCCTGACCTTTTTATACGGATTTTTGAAAAATAGGGTTTATGCCAACAAATAAAATACTGCATCTGATGAAACGATTGAAAATATTCCTCCCGAAACCTACCAAAAAGTGATGGAAAACGTAATCAAGGGGGCTCAGGTTTGCACGGCTTCTAGAGGCAGAGATTTGTCTGATATTATTTTTCATACATAATTTCTAAGTTTCAATACAAGATTAAGATGAAAAGAATGGAAGTATTTTATTCCATTTCAAAAATATTCAAGATACAAACCAGTCAGTTACATGTCGGCCACCCTGTACTGCTGCTTAGAAGTCAAAATTTATTATAGGATCTGTTCCTTTTTTTAGTATTTACACAATCTATATTGCACCAAAACATTCCAATCTTTACATCCATGATTCGTTTTTTGTTATGGTTGCATCAATTTTATCATAAAACGATCGTGAATGGAGCGACATCGTATTCGTTATCCAAACGTCGTTTCAGGGCATAAATATACTAACATCACAACATTTTAAATACCCTCCCTCAATCCCCTAGCTACAAACAAAAATAATCTGGAGCCTCTGAAACGCCAAAAAAATGAAGTTTCAGCGAATTGTATTTTTTATTTTCATGTTTTTCCCCTAGCTCAGCCGTCACTGAACCGATTTTCAAAAACAACAACGCTTTTTCGTCCTTGGCATAGTAATTACCTTGTCTGTTTGTTATATTTATTTAGCCTGAATGCTACAATATCAATGTTACACAGTATTTCAAATAATATTTTATGTCAAAGTCTACATGTGTATATTTCTATACTATAACTATCTAAAACTGTAATGACTCATCGATGTTCACGTGAACATCACTTAACTACCAGTAGTCGGCTGTTCATAGGCGGGGTATGAATGTTTAACATGGGTGAACTAGATTTGTCACATGCTTAATAAAGGGTGGTTTGAAACATATTGTAAGTCAAAAATTTGGGAATTATCTTTATTCATCGTCGCTTCCACTTACATCTGACAGTAATAAACTGTCGCTATCGCTTTCCTCGTTGAAATTGACTATAACTGGCTCTATGATGGTGTCGATGTGGTGGTCAAGCTGCCACATTTTTGTTTCTTCCTTCACAACGTGACAGACAGCATTCTGCCAAGCTTCGGGCGTTACTAGCTGTATGGAAGTCTCAAGTAAAACCTTAACGTCTGGTAATTTGAAGGTTGTGTTATGGCGCGCAATATAACCCTTCACTTGAGCCCAGATGAGCTCTATTGGGTTCAGTTCACAGTGATAGGGCGGTAACCGCAGCACAGTGACACCACATTGACGGGCGCCATCTCATCAGTCACGTAACTAATGTTCGCAGGTTTGTGCTGTTTAATTTTTTCATACAATTCCGCTTTCACACATGAATCGTCAAACGGGATTCCTTTTTCGCGAAACCATTGCTGCATGTCACTTTTTCGAGATCCCATAGTCGGTACACGTTCGGCTCGACGACTATGGTAGGAAGCATTATCCATGACGATCACAGAGTTGGGCTCAACTCGCTGAAGCATCCCTTGAAACCAGCTATCGAAGCAGCTGGCATTCATTTCGTCATGGCAATCACCTTCTTTCTTAGAGACGAAAATCAAGTCACACTCTTCTAAAAAGCCACTATCGCTACCAATATGAGTTACGATCAATCTTTGACCTTTCCCTGACGGTCCACGAAGACCTGTTGACAAACCTTCAATGCTTGCTTGTCGTTTACTCACTACGTTTTTGTCTATCCAGGTTTGTTTAACTGTGTGACCTGCATTTACCAATGTCTCGTCCAAATAATAGATTTTTCTGCTTTGTCGCCTATATTCAATCATTTCGCGTAGGTATTTTCGACGCCAGGCGACTATTTCAGGTCTCTCTATCAATACTGACTTCCGATTACGCGTTTCGTAACGAAAATTAATTTCGTGCAGGGATTTCCTCATTACCTCGACGCTCATTTGGGGTATAATTTCATTTTCCTTGATCGCTGCATGTACAGCCTTGAGGGTTGGTATCTCATTCCTAAAGAAGAATGAATGTACGGTTCGCCATAACGACATTTTGCTATCGTCATCCAATTTAACGGCCTTTTCATGCACCACCCTGCGAATGGTCCACTCTGGAACGCCTGTCATACTTTCACAACGCGCGAGTGCATCTCCCTGCGACATAGTTCTGTTCAGATAATTGAACACGTTGAGCACGATTTCTTTCGCGTCCCTCTTCAGTGCTTTACGAAGCCGTCTACTTGTTCCCTGGCTTTCAGTACTTCCACTCGTGCCATTTGTACTCTCCATGGTTAAGTATAACCAAAACAGTAACCACAGAAACCACAACAATAACAATCACACAACAATTCTTATAAAAACACACAATATGCGATCGCTCAACGAAACACGTTCCAATGCGTTGCCGACGCCTATGAGTCTGCCGGTCGAGGCGCGTCTTTGATTTCATTGGTTCTACCGGCAGAGAACAATCAGCCATTATTTCCATCTCTGTCTGTGCTGTTGACCACCGCAAAGCCACAGAAACACATATGTCGTACGCTACACGGCTGTACTGGAAGGAAGCCGGGATCGAGCTCTGATCACGTGTTGATCACGCGTATGAGTCATTACAGTTTTAAATAGTTGTAGTATACAAAATTTCACTACTAAAAATTCTCATTTTCTTTGTTTTTTTTTATGATGTATTTAGCAATACTGCTACAACTTCAATCTTGTATAATTATTCGTTTACACATTTTTTGAATCTATTTTCTGAAATTTTAAATTCTTGTCTATTAAAATTACATCACTATGCATTTTGGGTATTCAGAAGGGGTTTTTTAATTTCACCCTAAGCATTTTTAAATTCGAACACTGATAATATTACCATTCAATTTATTAAATTCAGATACTCCCTTTAGAAATACAGATTTGCTATTTGTGCTACTATTACAATTTTCTAGATGAAAATCTAAACTCCAGTTTCGTAGTTATGAAAATCACTATTTAATTCGTTGAAGTTTTCTAAACGTGTTGCTAACAAATGATTTTTTAATTTGAATATGAAAATGAGAACTAAATAACATAAGATGTTTTGCATTCAACCACTGTAGTCTTTCTAACATAGACATAAACTTAACAGATTTTTTTTCTTTAAAACGATTATAAATTTTTCAAGTACTCTTTGAAAATTTTCTAAATGTTTCGCGATTACAAACTTCCTCGCCCAGTGGCAGTAGTTTTCTGCGTTAATAGCACATCACCCGGCATTCTATAGGGTTGTCCAATAGGGACGCAGGAAAGTAAACGTCAATTTGACATAGACGCCATCTTTGTTTTCTGTCACCGACATATCATTTTGTTAGTTGAATGTTTACCATTGATCGCTATGGAGTCGTATTCGATTGAAGACCGCATTAAAGTTATTCAAGAGCACTACAAAAACGGTGCAAGAATAAAAAACACGTTTCGCGCGCTTCGTGAACATTTCGGTCGCAACAACCGCCCAAACGAAACAACTATCGGTCGTCTGGTGCGTAAATTCGAGGCAACAGGTTCTGTGGCAAATCTGCTAGGCTCTGGCCGGCCAAGGAGCGTTCGCATACCGGAAAATATTGCTGTTGTGACGGAGAGTGTGAGAGACGATCCGAAACAATCAACAACGCGTCAATCCCAAGAATTGGGCATTTCGAGAACCAGTTTGCTCCGCATTCTCCACAAGGATTTGAATGTACACGCCTACAAGATCCAATTGATGCAAGAGCTGCGTCGGGCCGACCATTTTTCGCGCCGAACGTTCTCAGATTGGCTCCTTGAACACCACCAAATTGATGCCAATTTTTCATCAAAAATCATGTTCAGCGACGAAGCGCATTTCATTTTGAATGGGACGGTAAACAAGCAAAACTGCCGCATCTGGGCGAACGAAAATCCCCGTGAGTATCAAGAACAGCCGATGCATCCTCAAAAAGTGACTGTGTGGTGTGCATTGTGGTCAAAAGGCAACATCGGACCTTACTTTTTCGAAAATGCGGCCGGGGACGCCGTTACCGTCAATTCTGAGCGATATCTCGTGATGATAGAGGACTATTTTTTGCCGCAACTTGAAGGAATGGATATGGACGATGTTTATTTCCAACAAGACGGTGCAACATGCTACACAACCAACGTCAATATCCATCGATTGCAGTCCTTCTTCGGTGATCGCGTGATTTCGCGCAGAGGAAATGTGCTATGGCCACCAAGATCGTGCGATTTGACTCCCTTGGACTTCTTTTTATGGGGATATTTGAAAAGCAAAGTCTACGTCAACAAACCAGCCACCCTCCAAGAACTCAAAAACAACATCATTGCCGAGATAAATGCCATAGAACCGACCATGTTGCAAAATGTCATTGAAAATTTCGACCATCGTGTGGACGTCTGTAAATCCAGTCGTGGTGAACATTTGAGCGAGATTATTTTTCATACATAAATGGTATAAATGAACCTTCAAAATAAAGTACCCAACTTGATTTGAATATCAATCTTTCTTGTTTTAATATGCGTTTACTTTCCTGCGTCCATTTTGGACAACCCCATAATAACATTTATTTAGATAAAAGGTAAAAAAATCCTTACCTCAAAAATTGGTCGCTTGTGGTACCGCTGTGCATGAAAGCATTCGCGATGACAGTAGCCGTGTGACAAATACTGACGCGGACCGTTTCTTTAGTCTGTTTCAGGATCAGCAGATCTGCGTGGTTTGATCGAATCAAAAACTGCAGGTGGAGCTCTATGGACACCTCTCCAGACAGGATGGTGTGCAATTTTTCTATTCTAGCCTGGTGTTCACGATCTGATTCACTCTGTAAGAAAAAATCATCTATAAAACCATTAGGACGATACCTGGCTTAGTAGCACCACTCATTATTGTATTCTCCAAGAATATACCCAACCCTATGCTGTATTTGGTCATTTACATAAATTGTCGAATTTTATCAAAACCCGAGTGGTACTTTCCAAGTTATACGGCAAGGTTATCGACACTGATTAAAAAATCTGAATATGAAGAGCTCCGCCAGTGGTTTTTCTTCTCCCGAGTCTATATACTTTATTAAGCCACATTTTTCCCAAATTTTAACTAAGCCTTACCAAACTCTCCAAACTTTTCTCCTCTTTGACCTCCTTAGGCTGAGGCGAGGCTTCTGCGGGCGTTTCTGCGTCAGGTTTTCCTTCTGCGGCGGGCGTTTTCGGTTTAAGTTTTTCTTCCAACAATGAGGGGATCGGAGCTGTCATTCTCAAGGCTACCAACACTCGCTCAAGGAACTGCTGGGTCGCCGATTCGTACAAATCAAAGGCTATAAAACATAAACATAAAGTTCAAGGAGCGATTTTAAAAAAATGACGATTGTAAAAAATATACGGGGTATTACAAAATGTTGTTAAGAATATTAAAAATGAGATATACCATGTAAAATACCGGGAATAAATTGCCGATGATTTCCAGTGATGCAAAAACACCTACCTATTTGATACGCCATCAGTTGACTATCCTCTTGTCCTAACACCAATTTATCAAGGATTTGAGCAACTGACAGAGGATCCTCCAAGAAGATGAGACACTGGCACATATTTACATAATCTGGCGTCTCTAATCCGCGATAGAGACCTACCAGGGACCTCAATACCGTGTTTCGGAACCCGCGGTTTTGGATCAGGCTCATTGCCACCTACAAGATAAAAAAATAGCTGAAAACCTACATACAAGAAAGAAGAAGAACTCCTTAAACCTTAGGTCCTAGCACGTAGGCCTGTTTTCCTACCCCCACGCAACATTCTAGATTTTGATCAAGACCATAATTTTGCACATTACATGACTTTACTGACTTTCATTCATTTATAGTTGCAGAAGACAAAAATACGTTTTCACATGATTTTTTTTTGTCTATCGACTCATACTCACTTGAAAAGCATACGTAAGCATGCCAATGACGTCATCGGATCTAGACACGGCCTGCTCGAAAACGTCCATTCTTCTGGTCTCCAAGGCGAGTCCTAGTGCTTGTCTGTACTGTCCATCATCCAGGCATCTTTTGAACATACGATCCACGATTGCTTCCAAGCGAGAATCAATCGGTTTTATATCTGGAGAGTTTTCAGCCAAAGCAACTCGCTGTTGGGTGTAGTAATCGATGCATTTTGCTGAAAATTAAATGCATGTTACAAAATAAATTTTTCTCTGCAGTTTTCCATTTCTATATACTCAAACAATCATTATCTCAAAGTTACAGAAACTCTCCCAAGAATTCAATGTTAATTTCAAGGTTTTGTGCTGCTTCCATACTGTGTGCTGTTAAGAGACAAAGATATGACAAAGGAATCACAGTTGATGAGGAAAAACTAACTTGTTCTCAATGAGAAAACAGTTTGATACTCACCCAAAATAGTCTCAACATACTCAGACCGAGCATTGACATCAAAGAGATCTCCAGCACCTAACGCATATGTAACAGAGTCTTCGAAAGCACCTAGATGATAGTACACTTTACTAGCAACCAAAGCAGCAAGTTGGTGTTGTTGGAACACCTTATCTTCATGCAGTATTTCACTGAAAATAACGTTAAAGCTCAAATATAAGGGCACCTTTCCTTCTCATGTCAGTCTAGAAGCCTTTAGGACTGTGAAGTTATTGTCCGTCAGACCTGGTTAACCAGAAACCGGACAAATAGAGGTTCCCATACACTTAAAAAGATGTTTGATGCAGAATAATTTTTGAAAAAAATATGGATACCTATCTAATTTGCAAAAAATAATGAAGGCCTCAATTGCAATCGCCTTAATAACTGGGACTTTCCAAAGATACTTACATTTTCTCTATAGCTTCAGAAATTTCCGGCCAGAACTCATCAACAATGTTGTCGAGCTTTTTGAGGGCGTAGACTTTAAGCTCAGGCCTCGGCTCTTCCAAAAGGGAAATTATTCCCGCTGTGAAAGAAAAGTGTATTGAGGTTAGGATACTTAAATGATGAATAAAATTAAAATAACTCCACGAATGAACGTTTTCATAAGCTGTAATGTTGAGTTTAGAGTCACATAAATGCCTAAAATTATTTGCAATGGTTTTACGAAGGAAGAAAAGAGAATGTATCTATTTATTGTATGATGACTTGCAAAAGAAAAATAATGATGAAACGGGATTTTCCCGCTTTCTGCTGAATGTGGTACATGAAATAGTAACTTACCAGCTGAAGTTATATTCATCTTGTCGATGTAACAGCACTTCACAATTTATATGAATATTTGAAATCGAAAAAGTATTCACTTCAGGAGAACAATCACAAATCATCAGACAAAGTAAGGTTAGGTTTTTGAAAATTCTAATAACGAAAACACAGTTTGCTTACATGCACATTCATTGTGTTACAATAACTTCCGGTAGATGGCGCAGGTAGTAATGCTTGGTGGCGGCATCTATTAGTACATATATAAAGTCTTTGATTATTATTCTTCCTGAATACAGTTTTCTATCCAGGTGATTACCATCGTTCAGCTTTTCACCGTAAGATGTCACGTAAGTCGTAGATTGTATTGCCATCTATCGGAAATTGAGGTAACTGTAAGATCCATGATACAGTTTCCGGTTTCAAAACTAGCTGTGATTAAGTTCTAAGTCACTAGATGTCGCTGAAAATAAAATGGTGCTGCCATCTTCACTACGACAATTAAAGGAATAAATATGTTTTACAGTTTCTTATATAGATATTATTGATAACTAGCATTTTCTGCGATAGATGTCAGAACAAGGAAATTACGTTGTTGGACTCATCAATTTTTCGATTTTACACTAATAAAATATGCACAAATCAGGAAAAAGGTATTTATTTCCTATGTTTATTCTCCTTTCGTAGAGAATTACTGTTCACTATAACGTACTTATTAATGTTCTGGACATCTAATCATCCTGCATACCTATAACTATTTGAAATTTAGATAGATTCCAAAATATTTTACAAAACAATCTAGGGAAATTAAATAAATAGAGAATATAACGTTGGAAAGCTGGAAAAAATAATATCTGTATCTGGGTTTGCTACGGATTTACATATATAGGAGAAATAAAGAATTGATGAAATGTGAAAAGACCTTGCCAAAAGCAATCTCTAGGCAATCCTGAAACATCTTTCAGCATTCTTTCAGAATAATATTTGTATGTCAAAATACGTAAAATGAAAAATTCTATCAGATTTTCGAATTGCTCTAGATTTTTTTCCAAAGTTTAAATTGTAATTATAATAATGTATTGATTTGGAGGAATAGTTCTACCTTTTTTACATCCTTCAATTTCGTGATTTTCCCTGATATTTCCCACACCTTTTAAAGTATATTGAGTATTGGGCATTTTTAAGTTGCAGGATTATTCGTTGTATTGCTACCAAATCACGTACAATAATTTCTAATACCAATTTTTAAACATAACAAACCATGGGACGGCACTGCACTATTCTTTCCATTCAAATATCGCGCGACAGCAAAAAGAAATTAGCGCTCAGTCGGTAAGGAAGATTTTCATTTTTCTTTACATGGTTCAACTCATTGATTTTAGTCTGTGAAGAGCTTATCGGTGAAAAAACAAGATGCATACTTATAATAAGATTAAAGAGCAGAGGAATGTGGGTTAATTTTATCCATCACACCAAAAAGCAACTAGTAAATTCGTTAAAGGGCATGTTGAAATTTGAATTTGGCGCCCGTACGAAAGCGTTGAATTCTGGGTAGGCAAAAAACGTCAATTCCACCAGTGCTGTCGACTGAGTTGGCTTGGGTTGTGACAATAAAATAATGGATAGATTTTAGTTAGTTTTTCTTTGTGTCGGGGCTCCACAATCACAATGGAGATGGAAAATATTAACGTGAACGCGATCTGCCGGACGTGCAAGTGCGTAACGCCGCACATGCGATCCATTTTCGAAGAATTCGAGAACACACACCAAAGTCCCCGTATTGACGAGATGCTAATGGCCTGTGCTTCTGTCCAGGTAAATATTCCCCTTTAGGCGGCTCACATTTTTTTTCGCCAAGGCGCTTTTCGAAGATATTTAATCTTGTTTTTTGGTAAAAGGTGATGTGCGGAGACGGATTGCCCAGCTTGATGTGCCAAGTATGCTTGGAGCACCTGAAAAATGCCTTTGTGTTCAAGAGGCAAGCCGAAAAGGTGGATACGAGCCTCCGAGAATACGCCAAAAACCTCAAAGTCAACGAGATCAAACAGGAGCTGCAAAATTCAGAATTTATGGGTAAGATTTATGAGGATTATCGCCTTTTATTTTTCTATAGGCTTCCAAGGTCATTATCTGACATTATTGGGGGTTGTAAACCTCTTTAATACCTGACAAACCATTATTTTTACCTGAACATTTTATATTTACAAATAATGTTGGACCAGCGAAAGATTGCAAGCCGAAAGAATGCGGACAAAAAATTGCGAAGTTGTCAGATGTTCTACATAAAATGCGGTCCATACATATTAACATATTTAAGATATAGAATTGTTCCGCTGAATTTGGCAATGTAGCTGGAAAACCCAGGCCGCAGGTAAACATCCGGTCGCTGATTGGTCCAAAACTCTTATCTTATCTGAAACTAGAATAACGTGCCGATGGCACGGTCATTTATAAACCTACTCCCATAGGCGTAGGCAGTTGGCAAATACTTTGAAAATATAATTTACTGTTTAGTGGTGATAATGGAATTCAAGCATGGGAAAGTTATTCACAGCCAGGCAAGGGAAATAATAGCAAACGTGATACGTGCTTGCGATGCAGAAGCGGCTAACAATACTTTCGTTTATCCACTGGTAGCTAGAAATGCAAGGGCGGCATATTATACGGGTGTTAGTGAACGAACTATAAGTAAAATTAGAAAAGAAGATAAAGACAGGCAAAATGCAACCTCCACACAGCCTTTAGCTTCTCCCGGAAAAAAGAGATCACGCCCTTCTGTGATCCAAAAAATTGATGGAGTCGATTTTTCCATTATTCGGAGAATGATAGAAAAATTTTACTGTGATTTTAAAGTGGTACCTACTTGTAGTAAACTTCTAATCAAACTGAAGGAAGAAATGGAATTTCCATTTGGTAAAGAATCGTTGAGGCTGCTTTTAAAAGCAAAAGGATTTTACTGGCGTAAATGCCACAACAAAAGGAAATTACTAATGGAAAGACCCAGTATTTTACATTGGCGATACAAGTATCTTAGGTCTATTAAAAAGTTCCGGGAAGAAGGAAGGCATATTATTTATTTGGACGAAACTTGGGTTGATAATGACCTCACTTTCAAGAAATGCTGGCAAAGCGAAGAAATTATGGGTGTCCTGAGCAATATAAGTTCTACAGGTAATAAAGTTTCTTTCACCTCGATTTTGCTTATTATACATTTTTCTCAATTTTGGAATATTCTTAATAAGTGCTCATTTAATTTGTCTAATTGAATACATAATCCCTTGCAAGTATTTTTTTCTCAAAAATATGTTTTTTATACATAGTGATTCAAAAAGGTGTTGGCAAACTTAAAATAACACTAAAATGAGGCTATTTATTCATTTCCAGGACGACTTATAATTGTTCATGCGGGTTCGCAAGATGGTTTTGTTCCTGGAGCCTGTCTCATTTTCAAGGCTGGCTGTGCCACTGGTGATTATCACGGTCAAATGAACCAAGAAAATTTCACGAAGTGGCTTACTGAAAAACTATTTCCTAACATTCCTCCTAATAGTATTATAATAATGGATAATGCACCTTACCATTCAGCTTTGGAAGACAAGCCTCCAACTAGATCTTCTCTAAAAAGAGACATCATCACGTGGTTGAGCAAAAAAGGTATAGAGCATGATCCTAATGCTAAAAAAATGGAGCTTTATGAAATAGCTTGTCTACATAGGCCACCATCTGATGAGAAAAATTATAAGATAGATAATTTAATAAGAAGTTTCGGACACACCCCACTTCGAACGCCACCCTATATGTGTCAGTTTAATCCCATAGAGATGATTTGGGCACAAGTAAAATTTTTCATTAGAAGCCATAATACAAGCGGCGAATTTACTATAAAAAAACTAGATGAAATTTCTAATAAGGCCATCGCTTCAGTAAGTGCCAGTGACTGGCAAAAGGTTATTGGACATGTTATAAAAATTGAAGATGAATATTGGGAAAAAGACAGTCTCATTCAAGAAATACAGGAAGAAATAATAATCAACATAGGAGGTGAAAGTGATAGCAATGACAGTTCCTCAGACAGTGATCATGACTCTAATCAGGATTGAAACTATACTAGATTGGCTACCTTTTAGAATTTTTAGATATTCATTTATTATACTATTGGTTTGTGGCTTTTAGTATCTCAGTAGAAAGTCTAATTCTATGTGTTGTTTATGGGTTATTTCATCAAGAAATTACTTTTTGTTTTCCTATATTTTTCTATTCAGTCAGATATTTTTGACTTGTTGTATTCTATTTTAGAAGAATGCATAATTTGTTTTGCTGTTCAATCATAATGCGTACATAGGAATATTACTTGTTGCCTAAAAAATATATTTATTTTGTTCTCAATATTCAGTGTTTGTGTATATTTATTTCTTATAATGTATGTTTGGTATCACGTCATTATGAATCGCAAAAAAATATTAATACTACCAGTTGTAATAAAATATAAATTCAATTAATAATTCAAGTCTCTCCGATCTCCGCCTATGACTCCATATAAAATCGTCTAATGGTAAGGTTTTTTCATCGCATTTCCCCCTTTCGTCCCTAGCAATCTTTGGCTGGTCGATCAGTACATTTTTCAAGTACTGTGGTATTTTTTATTTACATCTCATCATTATTTTTAAATTATTTTGAATATTCTCAAGGTTAACATAATCTTTTTTCTTCTGCTCAAATATTTTTAATATCAGAAAATTCCTATATTTTTTTGTTCTCTGAGGCTAACAAAATACTGTGAAGCTAATATCAAAAAATGATGAGTGTAGATTTTTTTTTACAAAATGGTGAATGCAGATTGATTTTTGAAAAAAAAATGGTGGATGCACAATAATTTAAATAAAATGGTGAATGCAAAATTATTCAAAAAATCCTTAATGCAGAAGTATTTTTATTTTTCTAAAAGTAGGGGATCCAAAATGATTTGAAAGGCAAAATGGTGGTGCAAAATGATTTTTCAAAAAAATGGTAGGATCAATAAAAAAATGGTGAGGGCTCGAAGAATTTTCCAAAAAATGTGAATGCTCAATGATTTTTCAAATGTTTATAAAACACTTTGTTTTTTGGCATTTCAGAAGTTCCTGATCATTTTTGAAAAAAGAAATTTTGTTAAAATGGTGACAATGTTGTGGGCATCACATTATCTTTATATGTATGAGCTTTATCCAGTGTAATATAATGATGTAATATTATATGGCATATAAATATTTATCAAGAGTTATTATAATCAGTTATCAAACATTGTTGTTAAGCAGTTTTATACCAGTGCTCCAAAGAAATATGAAAAATGATTTTATGTGAATGTGTTTGAGCAACTGAGTCAATCTTCTTGACACTGTTTATTCTTATTTGTGCTTTCATCTTTTTCTATTACATTATTTCTTGAATTATTCATATTTGTATTTCTAACTGAAACTAAAAAGAACAAGACCAGTGAAAATTGGGGAATCTTATATGGATACAACCAGACACAAAAACAGCTAAACTGTACCTCTTAGCATTCATAAAAAAAAGTAACAGTGGACCAATCACCTGGTTCACTAAAAACAAGTATTTCAAGGTATCATCCTTTTCCACTCATGGTATCAGTTATGTGTTAGTACATGGTGCTGAGTATTGCAAATATTGCCAAGAACCTTGCATCAATAGAGGCGTTTTGAGGAGCACTTGTGTCAGAGGAAGATGGAGAACGTCATAAGTATCTCAGAATTGTTTTAGACTCCCATGTTCATTGGGATGGACATATCCAATACTAAAGAAACATAGATTTCTGTTATATAAGTTCAGATATTACATGCAAATGTTCAATGAAACTCAATTAAAGAATTTTAGGTCAAACATTAGTTGAATACCACATAACCTATGGAATTTTTATCTGGGGATCTGCCAATACAAAATTAATGTATTACATTTATATTATATAGATTGTTTCTAGCCCATATCAATCAGTTTATTGTAACTGCTCTTTTATACGTTATATGTGTTAGAATGATATTCACACACAAGGATATTTTCCTCCGAATCAGTCTTCCAGTATGCACATTTTATAATTGATTTGAATACATTTTATTACTATCATCTGGAGCATATATTTACCACGGTACATATCTGAACCATAAAAATACTCAAAAATAGCAGTTCACCTTCATGTATAATACAAACTTAGATTATTTGATATTTCATTTCTGAATATTAATAGTATATATCTAAAACAATTGACAAATCCGTGTTTCAGAATCTTTGAACACCCTGAACAGCATCCTGAATGTGGACCCCACTCCGAAAACGACACTACCCACTACATCAGCACCACAGGAAGAGAGCAAGCCTTCGCAGCCGAAACTGGAAATGGACTACATCCAATTTTTGGAGAACAATCAAATGCTTCTTACTTGCAGAGAATGCGCGAAAATATTCACTACTTTGGAAGGACTACGCTGTCACAAGCGTATTCACTCAGGTGGGAAATAGTTTTGTTTTGATGTTTATTGTTTTCTGGGTTTTCAACTATGTTACACAAACTCTAAAGTTATCGCGATTTTCAAATTCAATTTTCTCTGAGACTGATTTTCTAAAAAGCGATGAATCATATTAACAGAAGAATTAAAAACACAAAAAAATGTTCACTTTGTAACTATACTATAACTATCTAAAACTGTAATGACTCATCGATGTTCACGTGAACATCACTTAACTACCAGTAGTCGGCTGTTCATAGGCGGGGTATGAATGTTTAACATGGGTGAACTAGATTTGTCACATGCTTAATAAAGGGTGGTTTGAAACATATTGTAAGTCAAAAATTTGGGAATTACCTTTATTCATCGTCGCTTCCACTTACATCTGACAGTAATAAACTGTCGCTCGTTGAAATTGACTATAACTGGCTCTATGATGGTGTCGATGTGGTGGTCAAGCTGCCACATTTTTGTTTCTTCCTTCACAACATGACGGATAGCATTCTGCCATGCTCGGGCGTTACTAGCTGTATGGAAGTCTCAAGTAAAACCTTAACGTCTGGTAATTTGAAGGTTGTGTTATGGGGCGCAATATAACCCTTCACTTGAGCTCAGATGAGCTCTATTGGGTTCATTTCACAGTGGTAGGGCGGTAACCGCAGCACAGTGACACCACATTGACGGGCCATGTCATCAGTCACGTAACTAATGTTCGCAGGTTTGTGCTGTTTAATTTTTTCATACAATTCCACTTTCACACATGAATCGTCAAACGGGATTCCTTTTTCGCGCAACCATTGCTGCATGTCACTTTTTCGAGATCCCATAGTCGGTACACGTTCTGCTCGACGACTATGGTAGGAAGCATTATCCATGACGATCACAGAGTTGGGCTCAACTCGCTGAAGCAACCCTTGAAACCAGCTCTCGAAGCAGCTGGCATTCATTTCGTCATGGTAATCACCTCCTTTCTTAGAGACGAAAATCAAGTCACACTCTTCTAAAAAGCCACTATCGCTACCAATATGAGTTACGATCAATCTTTGACCTTTCCCTGACAAACCTTCAATGCTTGCTTGTCGGTTACTCACTACGTTTTTGTCTATCCAGGTTTTTTAACTGTGTGACCTGCATTTACCCATGTCTCGTCCAAATAATAGATTTTTCTGCTTTGTCGCCTATATTCAATCATTTCGCGTAGGTATTTCCGACGCCAGGCGACTATTTCAGGTCTCTCTATCAATACTGACTTCCGATTACGCGTTTCGTAACGAAAATTAATTTCGTGCAGGGATTTCCTCATTACCTCGACGCTCATTTGGGGTATAATTTCATTTTCCTTGATCGCTGCATGTACAGCCTTGAGGGTTGGTATCTCATTCCTAAAGAAGAATGAATGTACGGTTCGCCTTAACGCCATTTTGCTATCGTCATCCAATTTAACGGCCTTTCGTCGCTTCAAATTAAACTTTGGATCAGTAGTAGCTCCAGTTTTCTTCTTTTCATGCACCACCCTGCGAATGGTCCACTCTGGAACGCCTGTCATACTTTCACAACGCGCGAGTGCATCTCCCTGCGACATAGTTCTGTTCAGATAATTGAAGACGTTGAGCACGATTTCTTTCGCGCCCTCTCCAGTGCTTTACGAAGCCGTCTACTTGTTCCCTGGCTTTCAGTACTTCCACTCGTGCCATTTGTACTCTCCATGGTTAAGTATAACCAAAACAGTAACCACAACAATAACAATCACACAACAATTCTTATAAAAACACACAATATGCGATCGCTCAACGAAACACGATCCAATGCGTTGCCGACGCCTATGAGTCTGCCGGTCGAGGCGCGACTTTGATTCCATTGGTTCTACCGGCGGAGAACAATCAGCCATTATTTCCATCTCTGTCTGTGCTGTTGACCACCGCAAAGCCACAGAAACGACATATGTCGTACGCTATACGGCTGTACTGGAAGGAAGCCGGGATCGAGCTCTGATCACGTGTTGATCACGCGTATGAGTCATTACAGTTTTAAATAGTTGTAGTATAGAAGACGATTATTATGGTATTGAATGCCTTGGAAAGGTCTAGCAGAACAGGCATTTCAAATGCAAATATTGTTGACTCTTTTTATAGGTGGTATGTACAAATGCAAGCAATGCGACAAGGAGTACACTCGTCTCAACCATCTGCAACGTCACGAAGCGTCCCACTCTAGACGCAAGGTTCACGTCTGCCGCATTTGTAGCAAGACGCTGACTCGCATGGAGCACTTGAAGCGCCATCTGGTGACGCATCTCCGCGAGAAACCGTTCTCGTGCAAGACGTGCAACAGAGGCTTCAATCGGATCGAGCATCTGCATCATCATGCTCCCAGGTGCAAAGGTAATTTTTTTTGCTAGTTATTTAACGCAAAATCGCTGGACCTATTCCAATAAGCTCATTTACAGTTTACTATTTAATATCCTTGCTATAGAGACCTTCTGTATTATTTACCCTACCCCATACAGCATTAATGTTTGTTATCTTGTATGTTTATTTGTTTAAGATGTATTTAGCATGGTTGCTACAATTACATTCTTCTAAAAAACCAAACAATTTCATAACATTCAGATATTTAGAAAAAAAAACAAAATTTGCATATCTAAGAATTTTCATTGTCCATGAAATATTCCTTTAATTTTCTTTCAAATATCTTCAAATTACAAGTAGACTTTATATCATTATTTGGGTTTTTAAAGTCAAGTAATCCTTTCTGAAATATTGATTTGCTAGATACAATGAAAATATTTCTTCTTGTATAATAATTGTGGTAATGATTATTCAATTCTATGTAGTGTTTTAAATCTTCCAGCAAAAGATTATTTTTTTATTATAAAAATAAGAACTAAAGACATATATGAATTTTTTTATATTTAACCACTGCAATTCTTGTAACATAGATTTTATTTTGGAGTACTTATTTTTATTCAATATTATTTTCATAGCTTTATTTTGCAAGACTTGTAATTTTGAGAATACAGCTTCATTGGCAGTGAACAAGATAGTTGAACAATATAGTAAATGCGGTAGAATAATTGTATACTAAGTGACATATAAATCCGAACACCCAGTTTAAATGGTTTTGTTTTAATAAAAGTTGGTGAATGTATTTATCTTACTGTAAATAACAAGTGAAAAAAATTTCAGCCTTATCAGTTGGACATTCCGGTTTTTATGCTCCTTTTTTTTAATTCACTAACGCTCTAAAGATTTCAGCCGCAGTAAAGAATCAACGTTGGCGGATTTTGGTTCTTCACATCCTTTACGATCGGTTACGATGCCTAGAGTACGGAGACCTGTACGATTTCGTCAACTAAGTGAGTTTGATAGGGGCCGTATAGTAGGACTTCGGGAAGCTGGACTTTCCTTTCGGGCAATCGCAGTTAGAGTGCAAAGAAGTGCAGACACTGTGGTTAGGTGTTGTCAGGCATGGCTTCAAGAAGGCCGTACGCAAAGAGCAAGGGGCACTGGACGCCGCCGTAGAACAACACACCGTGAAGATCGCCGCCTAAGATTATTGGCCTTAAGGGACCGTTTCTCCACTACCAGGTCCATTGCAAATGAATGGTTTGCAGAACACGGAAGACCTATTGGCATGCGAAGTGTTTACCGACGAATGAGAAGTTTTGGCTTGTTTTCGTACCGGCCACACTGGGTCCTCCCTTTAACTCGAGAACACCGACGTAATCGCCTTGAGTGGTGCAGACAACAGTCAGTCTGGGATCAGGAATGGAACAGTATTGTCTTTAGTGACGAGTCTCGATTTTGTTTAGGCATGCACGATGGTCGTGCCAGGGTTAGAAGGCGACATGGTAAAAGGAGGAATCCACAGTTTTTTGTTGAAAGACATGTTCATCACACTGTTGGAGTTATGGTTTGGAGTGCTATAGCTTATGGTTCCAGGTCACCTTTAATCTTCATCAGAGGTAACATGAACGCGCAGCGTTATATCCACGAAGTTGTAGACACCCTGGCAGATCCAACTTTCCAACAAGATAATGCCCGACCACATGTTGCAAGAGTCACAATAGACTTCTTTCAACATAATGATGTCACATTGTTACCATGGCCACCAAGATCTCCCGACTTATCCCCTATTGAGCACGTGTGGGATATGATGGGTAGGAGATTGCTCAATTTGCAACGTCCTCCTCAGACTCTAGAAGCACTTTGAGAGGAGTTGGTGGTTGCCTGGATTGAGATACCACAGGAGGACATTGACCACCTGATCAGAAGCATGCCTAGGCGCGTTGGAGAATGCGTAGCACATCAGGGTCCATCCACACATTATTAAAGGTCAAAGGGCTTTAAAGCAGTGCAATCATTTTGAAATTTTTATCATTTACTTATTATGCTTCATTAAGTACTTATACAAAATTTTATTAAAATAAAACCATTTAAACTGGGTGTTCGGATTTATATGTCACTTAGTATATTATTTTCTTGGAATAGGTACCTAGACTATGAGAAGCCCTATATAAGTAATTTGTTTTTTTGTCAATTTTTTAAATAATGTATTCATAGTGATCCTCAAACTTTAGTTTATACTATCAATATATATAACTAAATAATTGATTTGATTTTCAATTATTTCTCCATTTATCCTAACTGTGATAGTATTTGCATTTAGGTATTTCCCTATTAGCATACATTTTGTTTTAGAAGTATTCAATTTTAGTTTACATTTAACCAATTCACGATCTTTGCCAAGTCAAAATTTAGAATTTTTAAAGCAGTGTCTATATTTTCATCTGATATGTATCATCTGCAAATATCTGAAGTTTACAATAATCTAAAATATTACAAATGTCAATGAATAAAATAAATAGTAGTGGACCTAGTTTACTACCTTGTGGTATACCAACCGAAATATTTTTTGATCTGGATAATGTAGATTGGTTTACTTATTTACTTTGCTTTTTGAATTCCGCGCGCAGCAGAAGGTGAATGGTGTGAGTCACCTTGTATAAAATGTTAAAACGAATTTTCTTAGGCGACACTGTGTTCCCATGCGACGTGTGCAACAAAGCTTTCAACCGCGAGGACAGCCTCGAAGTCCACAAGAAAATGCACGACAACCAACAACCCAAATTGCCGACCATCGAGAATTTGGACAATATCAAGGAGTACTACTATCAAATTGACCAAGATATCAACACTACGTTTTCGGACAACGAAGATGAACCTTCAGATACGGACGATTACTTTGAACCCCACGTCGAGGTCACTGAAGGGTTAGATGAGGATAATAAGCAGCATGTCGCTGACGAGATTAGCGCATCCAGGGGTAAGTTTATTTCAAGGTCAAAGGAGTGTAGAGTGTAGAAAATGGGTGGCTAGGAACTCTTTATGCGTTTTGAGGTCAAATTGACGTCGGATTAGGAATCTACGCACCGGGCTTACCGAATTTCCGTTCAGACTTTATCTAACAGGAAGCCTCAAAATTTCAGTTTTTGCCTGCCATTCTTACAGGCGATTGAAACTTGGTACACTTAGGTAATTTTGAGCGTTGAATTCTAATATGATTGTAAAAAAAAGTGAAGTGTCTTGAGTTATAAAACGGATTGATTGAGACATTCCTTAAGTCGTAGCGCCGAATTTACGATGCACGTGAAACCTGCGAGTCTAATTTAACCTAGAAATGAGTTATTGTCTTTTTTTTTGTTTTTATACTCCAACTACCATGAAGGCCTAAGGCCTAAGCACCCATTGGGTACCGTGTGGCTATAGGGGGATACATGGGAAAGGGGGAACGTCACACGGACTCTGGCGAGGGACCACGTGTACATGCAACATGCACACATTCTGGCTCGGCCTACGAGATCCGCCGGGTGGTACCTCCGCGTTCGACAGTCAGAGACCGTCTACCACCTACCGTCTAAATAACATACATAAAAGTTTCTAATAGGTAAAAATAAAATTTTTTTAATGTCATCTCAAATGAAAAGTTAGACAAATCTCTTTCGGATCAAGTTTTTTTGATCGTATTTTGATCTAAAGGTTTTCCTATTAGCATATATTTTGTTTTGTTTGTGTTTAGTTTAAGTTTATTTGCATTTAACCAATTTATTACTTTTTTCATATCATTATTTAATAGCTCCATTGCAGTTTCAATGTCTTTATTTGATATATACATATATATATATATATATATATATATACAGGGTGACTTTGAAGTTGAGTCATTAATTTTCAGATAATGATTGTAGAAGGAAGATAAACCAAAATATGTGTGTAAAAATAAAATAAAAAATTTACCTTGTTTTATAAAGTATCCTCCCGACAAGTATTTCAGTGCGGACCTGTATTTGATCGTGAGGTCTTGGAGCACCGGCATGCCGTCCCCTGTGAGGTCTTAAGTCACCTGATTCACGAGCCCGTTGTACTACATTAACAAAGGCACGAGGGGTTGGTTGCACTCGATTGGGAAACCGATCCGCATAAACATGTGCCATTTTTTATTTCGTTTGAGCCACGCAACAGACACCACTATTCACTCACGCGTTACCGACTGACACTGACTGTATACAACTGAATAAAATAATTGTAAAAACATCGTTCCAAATTCTTTCGCTTTTTTCTTTCCGATGCGATGAACCGATAAGGCGGATTATATCCGTTGTTGCCAAACACGAGCACATAATATTATTATTGAGACAGGGCGGTACTCAAACTTCCAAAGGGCTATAAATTTGTTACTTTAATTTTACCAGAAAAATGGTAAAGGAAAAAAACATTTCTTTTGATCAGATCTACTCACTGTTAAAATAAATGACTCATCTTCGAAGTCACCCTGTATATTAATGTATCATCAGCAAATAGTTGAATTTTGCAGTGTTATAAAATATCAGTAATATCGTTGATATATAAAATAAACAGTAATGGACCTAATTTGCTACCCTGTGGCACACCTACCGAAATGTTTTTAATGTTTGATAATGTATTGTCAATTTTAGTTCTTTGACTTCTATTGATTAAATAATTTTGTAATAAATTGAATACTGAACCTTGAAATCCATAGCAATGCAATTTCGTTAACAATTTCTCCCTGTCATTAGTGTCAAATGATCTCTTGAAATCTAAATTTTAATTTCGTAGGAAATTCGTCATACACTTAACAGTGATTAACTAACAATAATAACTACTCTTCAATAATGTTGAAACATTCTTTTAGAAACATTTGTAAAAAATGTTCACCAGGATTTCCATTTAATTTTAATCTTGAAATAGTTTTTGAAAGATAACTGATTACTTATATGTAGTAGTAGTAGAAAGACTTATTTAGCACATTTGGCTACATAAACAGAATAATTGTAAACAACTTAGAACTAGTAAATTCAAGCCATATGGTGTATGATGTAAATGCTGGGCAACCTATAATTGTAGATTTAACAAGTGATTTCTCAATTTTACTTTAAATTTTGTCAAAGTTTTCTGGTCTTTTATCTCCGAGTATAATTTATTATATTCAATCAACCCTTGATGGGTCATTAAATGGAAGTCATATTTATTTCTGGTATTATGTAAATGATGGTCGACATTTGATGATGTTAAATTAGTTAGACTTGATGGAAATATATTATTTTTTACTCTATAAATGAATATCATTACAAGATATTTGATAAAATTTTTTACATTGAGCCATTTTAATTTGCTAAGAATTTGCCTAATTGGAGTATATTTATCTTTATTTAGTATTATTCTCATGCGCTTATTTTGTAAAATTTGCAGTCATTCAAAAATGGAATTATTTGCTAAATATAGAATAGTCGAACAGTAAAAGAAATTTGGAAGAATGATGGTATTATAGATAATTTTTCTGCTATATGAACTCAGACATCCAGAAACTCTCGATAAATATCCCACTTTACTACTAATCTTATTTATAACTTTTTCATAATGAATATCAAAAATTAATCGAGAGTCAACAAAAACCCCCAGGTATTTAAAATTTTCTACGAATTCAATATGTTCACCATCAATATTTAGTTGAACATTTGTACATTGTTTTTTCCGATTAACAAGGCTTTCATTTTACTTGCATTTAATTTTAGTCTGTTAGATGCTAACCATTTTGAGACAAGCTTCAAGTCTTCATTTATATAAGAGATACCACACTGAATATTTTTAGTGCTTATATAAATCATAGTGTCATCGGCGAAAATTTGAATTTTGCATTTTTTGACTATGGCAGGTAAATCATTTATGTATAAAATAAAAAGAAGTGGTCCCAGGATACTGCCCTGTGGAACACCCAACGTATTTTCAATTTTTGATGAAATAGTGTTATTAACTTTTGTAACTTGCATCCTTTTAGACAAATAATTTCTAAACCAATCTAAAACACTTCCTGTTATACCATATGCCTTCAATTTACCTAACAAAATATCTCCATCAATCGTTTCAAATGTCCTCTTCAAATCCAAAAATACTGCTATGACAAGTTCTTCTGAGTCTATGGCTCTTCTCCAATTCTCAGTTACCAACTGGAAAGCTGTTTTTGTGGAATATTTTTTTCGAAAGCCTGCTTGCGCCTCCACTAAAATTTTGTTTTCTTCTATAAACTGCATTAATTGGTCATGCACTATGGACTCTAATAATTTTTCAATGTCTGGTAACACATTTACTGGTCTCATATCGCTGCATCTTTTAGAATCTTTTATTTTGGGAACTGGTGTTATTGTAGAGCATTTCAAATTTTCAGGAAAAGAACTGCTTCTCAGTGAACAATTGATCCAATTTAATACAGGATATCCCAAAATTTCGAAACAGTTTTTCAACACGTTTTTAGTAGTGATTTCGGCACAGTTGTTATTTGATTTTAAACTGTTTACTTTTTTTCTTAGATAATTCAATGATACGCTGTGAAATTTTGAAAGTGTATGTAACAAATCTTAAACAAAAAAAATTCTCGGGCATCATCTTTACCTATGGGGAGAAATGTAGCTTATTTTACGATTCTTACGTGGAGTAAATTATGTCGCGATTCCTCAGGTTAGTAGTAAAAAACATTCCATTTTGTAGCCGAACATCGTGACGACCTTCCGGTGGAAGGCGCTTCCGGCGAAACCAGTGGCGTACCGGCGGCCGGTGGTTCGATCAATGACGACAGCATGAGCGATGACGGTTCTCAAGGGGGAGACGATATGGGCGCCGGTTGCGACATGGGCGTCGATGATAGCGAACCGGAAGAGGGCGGCGACCAAGACGAAGGCGGTGAACAACACGAGGCGGAACAGCAGGACGACGAGGAAGATGAAAAGAAAGAGGACGTCAAGCTGGAGGATGCCAAATTGATACAGGCGTTGTTGGAGGATGATCAGTTCAACGCCAAGGAAGGTTAGTGTGACACTATAATATACAGGGTGTTTCAGTTTATTGTTGCATAACTTTAAGATTCGATAGAACTTTTAAAATTAATGCATAAAGTCTATATAAACATGGGTCGAAAAATTCGTGGCTTCCGAAATACAGGGTGTTTAAATTTACTTTTTAAAATAGTTTTTTTTTTAATATTTCGAACAATATTTGATGTATAACAGTGAAAATTGGTATACAAGGGTTTTTTGGTACGACAAAACGAACCATGGGCATAGTTTTACTGTAGCCGCTAGACGGGGCTCTCTACTGTATGTGGAGTGTATTAAAATGACCGAAAAATTTTTCTTAGTGTAATTTTTTGCTTTTTGAATAAAAAAAATGATTCTTTGCACTTTTCTGCATAAAAAAGCTCTCCTGTGAGTTTTCGTTATAGTTAGCCGTTTTTGAGATATTTCGATTTTTAAGGTTCGATGCATTTTTAATTATTAATGGGAAAATAATATTTTTTTTTTACATTTTCGATTTGGGCCTTACAAGTAATTAAGATCATCGTTTAGATTGTGTTTTTAAACACAGCAATAATTCCTAACTCCAAATAAACACAAAAAAACAGAATATTAATTTGTTTAATTTTCCAATATTATTTTTAACAAATTAAATTAATTATTTACAACTAAAATGCTATTGGATAGTTAGGACAAACATGCAAAATCTAAAGTAGTTGCTCGAAATGTAAACCCAATTGTTCAATACACAATTCACATCTATGAATGATCGAACGTGGTATAGCACTATTCAAATAAGGCCTTATTTCATCTAATGCATTCCTGATTCTGTCTATTAGCATATCTCTTGTGGTTACGGGAGTCTGGTACACTTTTTCTTTTAGAAATCCCCACACAAAGAAATCTAATGGATTTAGGTCAGAGGATCGTGGAGGCCAGGCGACTGGTCCTCCACGGCCGATCCATCTTTCTGGATAATTTTCGTCCAGCCAGTTTCTAACTATTCTCGAATAATGAGCTGGACAACCATCAAGCTGGAACCAGGCCAATGTTATTAAATCTAACATAACATCATCCCACATATTTGCATGTTCAGCCTTTAAAAATTCCAAGAAGGTCGCAGCATTTAACCTTGCAGGCAAAAGGTAGGGTTCAAATAGTCGATTACGGTAGATACCAGCCACACGTTCACACTAAATTCATGCTGAAAATTTCTTTCCCGAACTGCATGCGGATTTTCATGCGATCAAATATGTTGATTATGAAAATTTACCACTCCACGTCTAGTGAAGCATGACTGCAGTTCTATCAAGAATCCACTGACAAAATGTGATTCTTCGTTCTCCGTCCCCTGGCTGAGGGTTGCAAATGGTAAGGACGTCTATGGTCATTTTTAAGAACACGGTGAACATGGCTTGCTGAAATTCCCAAGGCACCAGAAACTCTCCTAACACTTGTGGTCGGATCTCTATCAAACTCACGCAGAATCATACGGGTAAATCTGCGCTGACGAACATTTATGTTTTGATCCCTGTGGAGATTTCCAAAACCATTTTCAATTATTTGGCGATGCACTCTTACAAATACTGAGCGAGTTGGATGTCGTCTGTTCATAAATCTTCGTGCGTATTCTCTGGCTGCTTCTGCTGCGTTTCCATTTACAAAGCCATACACAAAATTAATATCCGCTAACTCTTGATTGGAGAATAAAAATGGCATTTTTATAAAACTTACAAAAAAAACAGGTAAAAGAAACTAAATTTCGTGCATTCACAATTGCAAAAAAACGTTTTAGGTTTCAACATACAACAAAACTAACTGTCAACTAATTGACGTTTAGCCTTATTCTGCTTTCAATTTCAAAAATATTTGCAGGTACAGCCTATTTCTAAAAATTATCGAGATACTGACTTTAACGTTATTTTATCATAAATAATAATAAAAATGCATCGAACCTTAAAAATCGAAATATCTCAAAAACGGCTAACTATAACGAAAATTCACAAGAGAGCTTTTTTATGTTGAAAAGTGCGAAGAATCAGTTTTTTTATTCAAAAAGCAAAAAATTGTACTAAGAAAAATGTTTCGGTCATTTTAATACACTACAGGTACAGTAGAGAGCGCCCTCTAGCGGCTACAGTAAAACTATGCCCATGGTTCGTTTTCTCGTACCAAAAACCCTTGTATACCAATTTTCACTGTTATACATCAAATATTGTTCGAAATATTTAAAAAAAACTATTTTAGAAAGTAAATTTAAACACCCTGTATTTCGAAAGCCACGTATTTTTCGACCCATGTTTATATAGACTTTATGCATTAATTATAAAAGTTCTATCGAATATTAAAGTTATGCAGCAATAAACTGAAACACCCTGTATACAACCTCGTCTATTCCTCGTCTATTCCTCGTCTAAATAAAGCGATCTTAAGTTGCCATAAGTGATATATTTTCTTTACAGGAACCGATGCTAATTAACCACACTATTAACAGAATTTTTTTTTAAAAATCGATGTCGTGTACTTTTCAATTTATAGGCTTGGAAAAAAAAATCCGAAAATGTACACCCTGTGATGATCTTTTAGCTCCCATTACTACGAATTGGATAATAGATGAGCTAACAAGGCATTATGAAATACTCAAAAATATTTTTTTTTTGCAGATGACGAGGAGGAGAATGAGAATTCGGATGCGAATAGCGAAGACAGCGATTATGTGCCCAAGAAAGTCCAAAAACCAAAAAGAGGACGCGGGCGTCCACGGAGAAACCCCGATGCACCACCCAAAGTTAAAGTAAGCATTATTAATGCAAGTTTAATGAAATTCCACGTCTTTTCTTTTATAGTACAATACAAATATTTTGCTGATAAAACTATATGCAATACTTTTTGATATTAGTTAATATTTAGCTGTTTATCCAGAAAATCAACAAGTTCTAAACCCTTACACATGTACTTTATCTATGAAATGGCCTTGAACTCGATGCATTTTCAGCTACTAAAATCGTGCTCGACCCTCTCATCAAGTGTTGAAATTATTTTTTTAAGCTTCTGATTGATGAAAAATGGACAAAAAAAGTTGTAGAAATATGTTTTTGACTGATATCGGACGATTTCATACTTCTATAATTTTTTTAGAAGCCGAGAGGTCCAGGTAGAGGCAGAGGTCGTGGACGTCAGCCAGCTGTCAAAAAGGAGAAAGATGAAGAATATGGCGAGTTTCCATGTCCAGCTTGCGGAGAAATGTTCAACACGATCACTGGATTGGACAAACACGCTAGAATTGCCCACGAAGGCCTAAAGGTAGAGACATAGTTAATAAAGATCTCTAATTTCTTTAGGAATTGTTTTACTCAAAAATGTACAAGTTTGGGACAGGGGCATTTGTCATCGCAGCGATCATGCGCGCCTGCATCAATTCCTCTCAGGGGGAGGAAGAAGGTCATTTAATTGTTTGTTATTCATATTTGTAGCTACTTTGTGGCAAACAGCATAGCGTGGGAATTGCAGTCCTGTTACTGAGCGACATTTTTTGGCATATGTATGTTCCTCAAAATATATCAAGTTCTATATTACAACTTGTGCATTGAGCTCTTCAAACTCCTTTGCAACCATTTTTAAAATCTTTTTGTCATGCTTGTTTATACGATTCTATATTTTTGTTTTACGCCGGAACTTGAAAACTCATCACCTGCCATTTTAAATTAATGTTCAGTTAAATACATGCGAGCTTTGGTTTCCTTATTACTTGTCTGACAGTGTGAACCAATATAGGAAAAAACTGAAAAGGGATGTGCGTGTATACGAGGTCTGTAACTTAAGTAAAGATACTGGCAACGCAGCGTTCGATCTGGCAACACTGGAGGCGTCGGGCTTGGAGGGGAGGCAGGGGGAACATGTGTTCCGCCTTCAGTGCAAGTTTAAACCCGCTCGAGTCATTTGCGTAGTTTTTTATATTGTTTGATTGACATCAATTTCGAGTAAACTAAACTTCAGCAGGCCTATGGATATAGCGTTTCGTCAAGAGCCCAGCTTTTTAGGTGGTTTAAGGTATTTTCAGAAGGGATAGAGTTATAGATATATTGAAGATGAACCCCGAAGCGGGATGCCTTCCTCTTCAAGAACCGATGAAAATAACGAAATAATCCGGGATCTTGCGCGTTCAGATCATCGGTTGACATGAGAAATCCTTCCAAAAAACCTTTCGCAAGACCGAAACGACATCAGAAAGGAGAGGTGTCTTGTCTTCTTGGATTCTATTGAGAATTATCCCCATTTTGTGGAACGTGTCATTACTGGTGACCTGTCTGGGGTTTTTGAGAAACTAGATAGTTCACGTGTACAACAAATTTTGAGTCATCATCCATCACAATACCTAGGTTCTTCGAAAATGTCTCGTTTCGGTAGAAATACCGGAAAATTAATAGGTTCGGCAACAGGGAAATCGACAGTGGGGGGACAGCCGCGCTCAGCGCTGTTGCCGGATTTCGCCTCGCCCCTTCCAGTATGGTTCGACTTCTGTGGGAACCTTTTTTCCGGGCCAAACTTCGAACATACGGCTTCGAGGAACAATCAGACCCATTTTCGTCTGTTTTTTTCTAGGTACACAAATGCGGCGTATGCCAAAAAGAGTTCGCCCGGGCCAATCATCTGAAACGTCACGTGACCACCCATTCGACGTTGAAACCGTTCCGTTGTCAATCGTGCCCGAAGAGTTTCAACAGGCGCGACCATCTGAACCAGCACGAAAAGTTGCATAATCGGCCGCAAGAGTACGAATGCGAGGTGTGCCAGAAACCGTTCAACCGGGCCGATCATTTGGCTAAACATCGCGCATCTAAGCATGGCATTGGAGATCGGATCAGCGTAAGTTGGAATCACTTTATTAAAAAAAAAATGTATTGGATGAAAATGTAACCTTCCATCGTGGAGATGCCGAAATGGAACGAGTCTAAGGACAAAAACATAATTTTAGCCCATTATACGAGTACAAGGGTAGCAAGAAAGCTACATTTAATTCATACACTAAAAAAATTAGGAATCAAACGAAATTGTAAGTTTTTTAGTCAATCTGGATCCGAGTAAAAAATGGGCGTATATTATATAGGGTTGTCCAATAGGGACGCAGGAAAGTAAACGTCAATTTGACATAGACGCCATCTTTGTTTTCTGTCACCGAAATGTCATTTTGTTAGTTGAATGTTTACCATTGATCGCTATGGAGTCGTATTCAATTGAAGACCGCATTAAAGCTATTCAAGAGCACTACAAAAATGGTGCAAAAATAAAAAACACGTTTCGCGCGCTTCGTGAACATTTCGGTCGCAACAACCGCCCAAACGAAACAACCATCGGTCGTCTGGTGCGTAAATTCGAGGCAACAGGTTCTGTGGCAAATCTGCCAGGCTCTGGCCGGCCAAGGAGCGTTCGCACACCGGAAAATATTGCTGTTGTGAAGGAGAGTGTGAGAGTCGATCCGAAACAATCAACAACGCGTCGATCCCAAGAATTGGGCATTTCGAGAACCAGTTTGCTCCGCATTCTCCACAAGGATTTGAATGTATACGCCTACAAGATCCAATTGACGCAAGAGCTGCGTCGGGCCGACCATTTTTCGCGCCGAACGTTCTCAGATTGGCTCCTTGAACACCGCCAAATTGATGCCAATTTTTGATCAAAAATCATGTTCAGCGACGAAGCGCATTTCACTTTGAATGGGACGGTAAACAAGCAAAACTGCCGCATCTGGGCGAACGAAAATCCCCGTGAGTATCAAGAGCAGCCGATGCATCCTCAAAAAGTGACTGTGTGGTGTGCATTGTGGTCAAAAGGCATCATCGGACCTTACTTTTTCGAAAATGCGGCCGGGGACGCCGTTACCGTCAATTCTGACCGATATCACGTGATGATAGAGGACTATTTTTTGCCGCAACTTGAAGGAATGGATATGGACGATGTTTATTTCCAACAAGACGGTGCAACATGCCACACAACCAACGTCAATATCCATCGATTGCAGTCCTTCTTCGGTGATCGCGTGATTTCGCGCAGAGGAAATGTGCCATGGCCACCAAGATCGTGCGATTTGACTCCCTTGGACTTCTTTTTATGAGGATATTTGAAAAGCAAAGTCTACGTCAACAAACCAGCCACCCTCCAAGAACTCAAAAACAACATCATTGCCGAGATAAATGCCATAGAACCGACCATGTTGCAAAATGTCATTGAAAATTTCGACCATCGCGTGGACGTCTGTAAATCCAGTCGTGGTGAACATTTGAGCGATATTATTTTTCACACATAAATGGTATAAATGAACCTTCAAAATAAAGTACCCAATCAATCTTTCTTGTTTCCTTTCCTGCGTCCGTTTTGGATAGCCCCATGGAGAATAATCTATTACAAAAATTTCAATTCTAAAGTTTTTAGTATCAGTAAGTCTTCAATTCAAAATAAAAAAAAAATCGTCAGCAGATTAAAACGAAATTTGTTACGAAAGTCACGCTCATTTTATCGATATTTATTCATTTGCTTCTAAAAAATATGTTACCCCTTTTTTCCTGCGTTTTGATCCAGCACTTATAAGGGATAAAAAATATGTTCTCCATAAGTGATAATTGATCCTTTTAGAGAATCTACTCCAGCTTTCGCAATCATATTTAGAATTTTTGTATGATGATAAGGGTACTTTTCTTAAAAAATCGGTATCTCGGCAAGAAATGGTCGCATCGAGGTTTTTAAAAAAAATAATTCATGCTGAATAAACATCGTATACATTCCGTGCAATCGTTTAACGGAAAATCATTTTCTCCGTCGGTGGACCTAAATAAAAAATGCAAATTTGTAAACAAAATCAAATCTTTTTCTTTACACTGTATCCTAGGATTGAGTGGAGCCCGCAGCTTCAAAAATGATCTGACTTGAAACTAGAAATTTGAATCTTAGAAACTCAATGCGACGACTTTTTATAAATGATCCGTCTCTCGTCAACCGGTTATTACGAGGGTTGTCTCAAAAAAAGGTTCCCACATTTTTTTATGCTCAAGGAATTTTTTATTTGCAATAACGAATTTATCGTTAGAAACGTTGATCGTTAAGCTATTTTTCTAAATAGTCGCGATTCTTTCTACGCATTTTCTTAGATGTGGAATCCACTTTTTCACTCCGTCCTTCAATTTCGAAAACGCTATGGGTTTTAAGGGGGAAGGGCAATGACTTCCCAGCCAAATCGCTCGATTTAATCCTTCGTTTGTTGTGAGACATGAGGATGCGCATTCTCGTGCAGTCTTACGCTTTGGCGAGTTTTTCCCTGCCACGATTTTGGATTGGCCGACGCAGCTTTTTCAGCAGCCTCAGAAATTTCAACCGCATGTTCCCGGATCGTGGTTCGCCGATTTTCGATCAAGGTTTGCTCAATCTTCCCCATAACTTCCGTCAAAGAACGCTCTTCACCATTTGAGGACATGTTGAATGTTTATACACGTTTCCCATATACTTCACTCAACTGGCAATGAATTTCCTACCTGGCGGTGATGGCGATGAAGGACTCCATTGCACATGGCTGACGGGGCGCCAATAGCCGCTTCTTGTTGGGATCGGTGGTAGGGGAGCCGACAAACACGACGGTGCTGCAAAATTTCGCGGCAAAGTTACAGCGCTGGAAATCTTATTTTTGAAACAACCCTCGTAGAAAGACGAACTAATTTTATTGTTGTGAAAGGAAAGACGACATGTTGTCTCGTGCCAAAATCACGTAACCTTTTTTTTACTATTTTGATCACTTACCCGTAATTTGAATTTCCCTGATTTTAGAGTGCCCATTCCTAGGCCTAACCCCTTTCAATGATTTTCTTTTGGTAAATTTCATAGTTTATTGATTGTATAATTTAACACGTATATCTTTCTTTCTCCGTTATTTGGTTTCCTATCGAACATTTCTTCAAGGCCACTTGCACCTTTCTTTATAAAGTTAGGTGTTTCGTGTCAGTCAATTTCCTCTTGAGGTTGTACCTTGCGTCTATACTACAACTATTTAAAACTGTAATGACTCATACGCGTGATCAACACGTGATCAGAGCTCGATCCCGGCTTATTTCCAGTACAGCCGTATAGCGTACGACATATTATGTCGTTTCTGTGGCTTTGCAGTGGTCAACAGCACAGACAGATGGAAATAATGGCTGATTGTTCTCCGCCGGTAGAACCAATGAAATCAAAGACGCGCCTCGACCGGCACTCATAGGCGTCGGCAACGCATTGGAACGTGTTTCGTTGAGCGATCGCATATTGTGTGTTTTTATAAGAATTGTTGTGTGATTGTTATTGCTGTGGTTTCTGTGGTTACTGTTTTGGTTATACTTAACCATGGAGACTACAAATGGCACGAGTGGAAGTACTGAAAGCCAGGGAACAAGTAGACGGCTCGTAAAGCACTGAAGAGGGACGCGAAAGAAATCGTGCTCAACGTGTTCAATTATCTGAACAAAACTATGTCGCAGGGAGATGCACTCGCGCATTGTGAAAGTATGACAGGCGTTCCAGAGTGGACCATTCGCAGGGTGGTGCATGAAAAGAAGAAAACTGGAGCTACTACTGATACAAAGTTTAATTTGAAGGGACGAAAGGCCGTCAAATTGGATGACGATAGCAAAATGGCGTTAAGGCAAGCCGTACATTCATTCTTCTTTAGGAATGAGATACCAACCCTCAAGGCTGTACATGCAGCGATCAAGGAAAATGAAATTATACCCCAAATGAGCGTCGAGGTAATGAGGAAATCCCTGCACGAAATTAATTTTCGTTACGAAACGCGTAATCGGAAGTCAGTATTGATAGAGAGACCTGAAATAGTCGCCTGGCGTCGAAAATACCTACGCGAAATGATTGAATATAGGCGACAAAGCAGAAAAATCTATTATTTGGACGAGACATGGGTAAATGCAGGTCACACAGTTAAAAAAAACTGGATAGACAAAAACGTAGTGAGTAACCGACAAGCAAGCATTGAAGGTTTGTCAACAGGTCTTCGTGGACCGTCAGGGAAAGGTCAAAGATTGATCGTAACTCATATTGGTAGCGATAGTGGCTTTTTAGAAGAGTGTGACTTGATTTTCGTCTCTAAGAAAGGAGGTGATTACCATGACGAAATGAATGCCAGCTGCTTCGAGAGCTGGTTTCAAGGGGTACTTCAGCGAGTTGAGCCCAACTCTGTGATCGTCATGGATAATGCGTCCTACCATAGTCGTCGAGCCGAACGTGTACCGACTATGGGATCTCGAAAAAGTGACATGCAGCAATGTTTGCGCGAAAAAGGAATCCCGTTTGACGATTCATGTGTGAAAGCGGAATTGTATGAAAAAATTAAACAGCACAAACCTGCGAACATTAGTTACGTGACTGATGAGATGGCCCGTCAATGTGGTGTCACTGTGCTGCGGTTACCGCCCTACCACTGTGAACTGAACCCATCTGGGCTCAAGTGAAGGGTTATATTGCGCGCCCTAACACAACCTTCAAATTACCAGACGTTAAGGTTTTACTTGAGACTTCCATACAGCTAGTAACGCCCGAAGCTTGGCAGAATGCTATCCGTCATGTTATGAAGGAAGAAACAAAAATGTGGCAGCTTGACCACCACATCGACACCATCATAGAGCCAGTTATAGTCAATTTCAACGAGGAAAGCGATAGCGACAGTTTATTACTGTCAGATGTAAGTGGAAGCGACGATGAATAAAGGTAATTCCCAAATTTTTGACTTACAATATGTTTCAAACCACTCTTTATTAAGCATGTGACAAATCTAGTTCACCCATGTTAAGCATTCATACCCCGCCTATGAACAGCCGACTACTGGTAGTTAAGTGATGTTCACGTGAACATCGATGAGTCATTACAGTTTTAGATAGTTATAGTGTAGTTGTTTTGCTTTGGGAGCTACCCCGTCAATTTTCTTATAGGACTTTAACCTTCAGCGGTAAATTTTTTCTCTTATATCATCGGACCAGGTGCATTAATGCATGTCCTGAAGAAGTTTGTTCAATATAATGCTTCCTTTTAGTGAGAAGGCATTGCGGGGAACCACCATACACTTCTCCAGCTTTGTAGCTGTTTTGCAGATGATATTGCCGGTTGAGTTTGTGGTGGTTCTCCGCAATGCCTTCCCACTAAAAGGAAGCAGATATTGAACAAACTTCTTCAGGACTTGCATTAATGCACGTGGTCCGACGGTATAAGAAAAAAACTTGCCGCTAAAGATTAATATCCCATAAGAAAATGGACGGGGTAGCACCCAAACCAAAACAACTAAACGTAAGGTACTATATAAAGGGGTCAACGTACAGGCGTTCGGCACCTAATATCCTGGAATCTGGAGGTTGAACAAACATGAAACACCTAACTTTGTGAAAAAAGGTTCAATGAGTGGCCTTGAAGCAGATAACGTTCGATAGGAAACCAAATAACGGAGAAAAACTAGTTTTTTTTGCAACACAATACTGAATCACTGGGAAAGAAAGATAATACGTGTGAAATTATACAATATAAACTATGAAATTTAGCAAAATAAAATCATTGAAAATGGTTTGGCCCAGGAGTGATCATTCTAAAATCAATAAAGAGAAATTCAAATTACGGGCAATTTTCTCACGTGACAATGTCAACCCAAGCTTTTTTTAATGTCGCCTAGAAGATTTTCTTACTATAAATCTAGACAACAGATATTTTTGGGCAAATGGAGAAAATAAAGAAATTAAGTTATTTCAGCGCTCCTTATTGCCACATTTAAGGAGAAAATGAGTAAAAATCCATAAAAATAAAAAACACTATTTAATCAATAAAATCGTGATTTTTTCCAACACTGTTTTAAACGCATGTTTTTTTTTGCTTGCAGGTGATAGGCGAGAAGAAGTACGAGTGCCCGATCTGTCACAAGGCATTCACAACCGAAAAATACCGAGACGTCCACGTGTCCGCCCACAACGGCACCAAGGAGTACAGCTGCAAGATATGCGAAAAGACGTTCTTGTCCAAATCGCATCTGACGGAACACATGAAGTTCCACAACGACCATTCCAAAAAGTTCCTCTGCTCCGAATGCGGACAAAGGTTCATACGTAACGATTACCTGGTCATCCATATGAGGAGGCATCGGGGCGAGAAACCTTTCAAATGCAAGTTCTGCGGAAAAGGTAAACGAATTTTGGTGGCTGTGGAACCGTAAATCGTTATTTGAGCCGTAATGTTTTTTTTACAGGTTTTCCAAGAACAACAGATCTCACCGTTCACGAACGGTACCATACTGGAGAGAAGACTCATTTGTGTACGATTTGTGGTAGAGGATTCGGAAGGTAAGGTTTGGATTATTAACTTGGAGCATTTTGTGTAATCCCTATTAATCGCACGCCAGTTAACAAGGGAGCATTGTAATTACGATTTATTTTAATAAAAAGATATTGTTTTTTGGGTTATATACCTGCTTTGTTCCAGTAACGTACAAAGGGTACTATAAAAGTTTTGCAATATGACTTAACAAACGGACGCAGGAGGCTGCATGTCCATGAGTGCATAGTAGCCGCCAGCAGCAGGTCTGTTAATTTAGTTCATTCATATTGATAGTGTAAAGTGCGGACGATGGCATCGGGCAGTTTTACGGTATAACTTTACGCGTTGTTTAAGCATAGACCAGTGCTTACAAAAAATGATGCTTGAATTAAAGAATGATTCTCCCCATAGTACGACTATATTAAGGAGGTACAGAGAATTTCAAAGTGGCACTTTCTCTCTGGGGGGGAAGGAAAGCCGCGAACGGCAGTAACTGCTGTGACGAAGACCGGAAAGTTACATACCGACAGATAGAGGAGACTTTACACCTTCATGCACTAACAATTTATCCAATACTGCATGGCGATTTACATGTAAGGATACGCATAGTCTGACGGAAGAACAGAAGACTCGTCGTACGACTTGGTGCAGAAAGGTTGATAAGGGCAATCTCGGCATGTGAACATCATCGTGACAGCAACGGCGGATCCAGGATTTGTGTCTACGGGGGGGTCACACTGGTCAAAAACATGTTCAGGAAGTTGTTCTTCTAGTCTTGGGGGGGGGACATCAGTGCCTCTGAGATGAAAATTAAAAACTGTACCTGCGAACGGATGGCACATGACAACTCTACCCTTGTACCCTTAGGGTTAAGTGATTAAAATATTAAATCTAATTTAAAAATGAACAATTTATTGTTAAAGAACAAAATTAATTCTTCTTTTTTGTCTTCCTGAGAATCGTTTAATATTAATACTTACCATCTCCTTTGAATAAAATGCAACAACTTTTTTGTGGTTTTGTCCGTCACAATGGCGAATTTAAGTAATGGCAAAATGGACATTGTCGCCTGGGCCCCCCAACGAAGGGTGGTCACAGGGCCCCCCAGCAAAAATCAGCTCTAGTGTCTATATTGTTCAGCGCGTCTGAACATAAAATTGATAACAAGAAATCAGAGTGCTGTTATATTCTTTTAATGACCATCTGCGTAATGTTTATGAAACAGCGCGTTAGCATTCAGTTTGAATAAGAAAATTTCCCTTTCATTTTTTAAGAAATTTTTTGAAAAATGACCGAATTACCCTTTGATTTCTCAAGGAGTAGAGGGGTTATTTTTTCATTTTGAGCTTACAGTGATATATTATTACCTATAATGTTCAGTAAATAAATATCTTCATGGTATGAATGAGCCTCTTTCAGACTAATAAAGACTAATGCGTCTATTAGTCTTTTCACTTCTTCAATGCTTATATAGCCATAAACTTTCACAATACTGTGCATTTTTTTATTTGATGACATATCTATGTTCTTCGTGATAATATCGTGGAAGCAATTTTTTGAATGTATTATCAATTGCATAGAAGATGAAATTTCAAGAGTAGGAGTTTCTGGCGAAGATATCATGAATGCAAGATCTCTCCTTTCCTCCATGAACTGGACCTTTTTCCTCAATTTGTTATGTTGGCATTCAGTATTGAGCGTAATGAATACTGTGCAATTTCAAACGCAAAAGAAAGAAATAGGCTTGATCATGGCTCAAAGGTGCAATTCAGCAGCATTAAAAAAATTTGAGGAGCGAAAGCACATACGATAATTTTGTTCTGAAGGCTAATAAATGGGAAGAGATGGAATGGGAAAATCCTGGTTTTCCCATTCTCAGAAAGAGGAAAGCCCGTAGCTGTCAGAAAATCCCGACCTGTATTTTTCAAATCCAGGGGGATTGTGGAGCGTGTCGTTTTGAACACACTGAAACTTTGAACGAAGTCAATAAATAAATCTGTATTGAAAAACTTTCATAGTACCCTTGGTATTCAGTTCATATTTGAACATATACTACTTTCTCGGTGACGTAATTCGAACAAGAACTAGTACCAACCCTGCTGGAACGATTTATCTTTTTTAATGGATTTTTTTTTGAAGGGCTTACAATTTGACTGTCCACATGCGTACTCACACCGGCGAGAAGCCGTACCAATGCACGTACTGCGATGCTGCCTTCGCACAAGGCAACGACTTGAAGGCACACATCAGGAGACACACTGGCGAAAGGTTCCAGTGCGAACTGTGCTCAGAAAGCTTCCTCATGGGATACCTGCTCACGCAACACAAGAGGACGGTTCACGGTTAGTTCATTACTTATTGCTTATATTTCGTCTTGTTGCTGAATGTTTATATGTAACTTGAAAAGATTTTGCATTGTTTTCTGTTTCTTGAATGAATGCCGTTTAAACTTGGAGAATCTTGAATCGGCAGGATCAATTTTTTAACTTAATGTCTTTGTCAAGTAACTGCAAGATTTACGACGGCGGTCCGATAAGTATTTTCCTCACCGCCCGATAAAAACGAAGACTTTCCTATTGTCCGGAAAGGTGATGGTGTGTGAATTATTGAGCCGGTTCGACGCCGAAATGCAGAAAAAATGGTCCCATTTGGCGAAGAAAAAAAGTGCTCTTCCACCATGATAACGCACCGGCTCACATCATCGCCGTCGCTATGGCCAGATCGGCCGAATTAGACTACGAAATCCACCTTTTCCTCCAGTTTTGGAACCCGGCGACTTATTTTTGTTTTCAAACTTGAAAAAGTCACTCGCCGGGCGGAAATTTGTGTCGAATGAGGAGGTTATGGTTCCCACCGAGGCCTACTTTACAGACCTCCAGAAAACGTATTTTCCAGACGGGTTAAAGAAGTGGGGTCAACTATATCGAGCTAAAAGGAATCTACGTTGAGGAATAAATCACTACTTTTAAATAAATTTCGTTTTTGTGGAGTAAGTAGTTATTGGACCGCCCTCGTATTTCTGTATGCGATAACGTTGAAGCGATATGACTGAGACCGGAAAAAATTATGTGATTTTGGGTGATTTAGAACCTGCTACTACATCAACACGGTTATTGCGAAAAATGTTTCTAAAACATGGTTTGAGCATTGATTAATATATTCTTTCAGAAGATACCCAACCCAATTGGAAGTCGTGTCTGGACGAAAATAAACATACATACCAACTATTTTTGTATACAACTATATTCCTGTCGACTACCATCTGTTCACCTCTTGGATTGTTGCCACAGGTGAAGGGATTTTCTGTTGCATTTTTGGGAATCATAGGGATATGAATAATTAGAGGAAAGGTTGAAGGGTAATCTTGGCAGGTTAATGTCATATTTGAGAATAATGCAGAAACTGCAGCCTGTTTTTATTACTCCTAAGAAAATCACAAATATCCTGCTTGACAACAGTGATGATAGTATTTGTAAATGAACGTCCAAATACATCGTATGGTTGGGCATTTTCTTGAAGAATACGTTAATCAATTTGTTGAGTCATGGTTTTTAATCCTATCTAGCTACAAGCTGAAACCAGTCTTAAATTGTAGCCAGTTAATTTTCACTTGTTTGTATTTTACTTCAGTAAAAGATATATTTATTTTTAGAATGAAATTATTATTTTTGGGAAGCAATTATAATGCTTGTTTTGTATATAAAGCAAGTTTTAATCATCTTCCCTATAATATTCGGGAGAATTCTGGCAGCTGTCGAAAAGGATAAAGACAAGCTGTTCGTTCCCCTCCCAACATTCATTTCTGCCCTTTTTTATTATCTACTTAATCTGTCTCTTCCTTCATTGGAGGCCATCTTATTGTGAGGATGCTTTATTACCTTTGACACATACTTGTACAAGAGACTCGTCAAGTATCCTTCCCAAGTTGTGCGATCTGAGATCTCCTTATGCCTTACAAAATGGGTTTCGTTCATTATTTTTCTCGCGGAATGCATGGATCATGGAGCTACACATTCTCGGTCTTATATCTGCAGAAATTACATTGCACATCAAGCGTCAGGTTTATAACAGAGACCGACAAGATTTTTACTCATAAACCAAAAGCATAGTTCACTTGTTGGCCTGTGACATTAATAACCAGAGATAATGAGTCTGCAGATCGAAGACGGTCTTTTTCATGGAGCCTTTATGCCAGGAGAAACTACCACAATGCTGTGAAAACCGGAGTACCAGTGGCGCTTTGACAGGGTTGCCATGTTGGGGGATTTTCCTCCAAGCCTGGGGAAATCACACCCGCTCTTTGAAGCAAACTTATCCATGTCCATTAATTGTGTTTTTGGGGATTTTTTTAATGTCCCCGGGATTATGAGCCCCGAGTTGTGTTTGTCGCACAATGTTAGAAAGACATAGGAAAGATCCACAGTTCTTTGAAAAAATTTTATGGTCGGATGAGACCACATTTAAGAAAGATGGGTACATGAACCTGCATAACTTACACGAGTGGCACGTAGCAAACCCACATTTGATGAGAGAAGATAAATCTCAATATCGCTTCAAGATAAACCATTGGACAGGAATTTTAAATGATAAAATAATCGGTCCGTTTGAGTTCCCAGAGACTTTGGCTGCTGAAGTTTATTTGGATTTTTTGAAAAATCATGTACAAAATTTATTGGTGGTCGTGCCACTGAGTATTTACAGAGACATGTGGTTTAGCATGATGGCTGCCCAGCGCACTATGCACTCTCAGTGAGAGAGTATCTCGATCAAAACTTTCCAGGCAGATGGATAAGGCGGTCTGGTACAATACCGTCGCCAGTCCGATCACCTGATTTGAATCCTTCAGATTTTTTTACTGGGGAACTGTAAAAGAAAAATTGTATTTCAAGCCGATTCCAAATGTGGCTGAGCTACGGCAAAGGCTATTGGAAGCAGCTGAGTTTGTTAATAACCGTGGATTCGCTCGTTTAATAACCCGATATTTTTTAAGAAGATGTCGAGCGTGTATTGCGGCTGAAGGAAAACAGTTTGAGCATTTGCTGTAAAGGTAAATCATCATCAGCAGCATTTTGACGCCCACTGTTGTGCAAACAGTTATCCTTAAGGGTGCTTGTGCGTTTTCATAATCGCTGTTTAATTAGGAAATTTTGAAAAAATTCCATCAGTTTTTCTTCAAATAAAAATTGTGCATAAGTTAACGAGTAATCTTCTAAGTGTTATACCATTTTGGAATCGTTATTAAATGCGCAAACTTTTAAGGTTACTTGCCAAACTCTCGTAGTACATTTTTTCCAGTACAGCCAGTTAAAGTTCAGCAAAGTTTTACTTTGGAATACTTGGTTAGGAAATAAGTGGCAATTTTTCCTGAACGAGAAAAGTTGGCAGTAAGGTTTAGACACCAGTTTGAAGATGCATTATTCATCATTACATTGTAAAAATAAAATCCAAAAAAAGTTAATATTTGTAGTAACAGGAGTTGACAGACTGCCGTAGGGTGTGAAATTTCTATATCTTTTTCAAAGACCTATAATTTTCAAAACACATACATAAAATTTTTTTAAATATTTTTCTGATAGCTGTTATGACTTTGCCTATCACCCGGTTTCGGCTTGACGTCGACTTCTGGGACACCCTGTATAGGCTCCGTGGTATTTTCATTGCTACTTGGCAACTTTCCTGTCATAAGTGGTAAGGCATCCACAATAAGGCCTCAACAGAGATCAGTGAAAACAGAAAAAAATTAATTCTTGTAATCCTTGATTTTGAAAAATCTGCATAGATCAGTAAGTACTACCGTTTTCGCTCTAGTGGCCCAAAAATCCGTGACTTACATGGCATAAATTGTGGAAGTTGAATCGTCATACGTATAGCATAAAACTACAAGGAATTACCGATTTCCGCACCATAGTTTCGGCTTGTTGCTACGATAGGCGTACGAACACCCAATCTATTCGACACTAGTAACCTTTTTGTCCTTCTAGGGCTAAACATAGAGCGAAAACGGGGTTGTTCCGAACCCCTGCGGACCGTGTGCACCGCCGAAGGTTAGACTCGACCACACCTCAGCTGGCGTTTCTACAAACTGACTTGTTCTGGTTGCAGGTCTGAACGTGGTCAGCAACATCCGACGCCTGCAGCCCGTGCACAAGCAGGAGAATCCCGACGAACCGCCGCCGATCACGATCCCGCTGCCGAAGCCGGTCATTCCGGAGAACGTGATGTTCAACGCGCTGCACGCGAATGCGCTGCACGCGAACGCGTTGCATGCGCAGCTGGCCGTCGCGCAGCTGCATCTGGCGAGGGAGTGAGACGAGGCGCAGCCGCAGCTGATGTTCGCGCATGCGCAGCATCAGCAGCAGCAAACGGTGATGCAGCATACGCAAGGCGGTACGACCAAGGAAAAGGTGAGGGAGTTTTTTTTTTTAGTTGAAAGTTCGTTGGGGGGCGTTCAGGTGTTACGTAAGCGGATATTTTACCTTGGGCTACTTGACTCATATCTACGAGGGTGGTCGCAGAAGTACACGGCGTGACCTAGAGATGGCGATAGTTGTTTGAAAAATATCATTGTATTAGAAAGTATGCAACCTATAAAGCATATGTGTCAAGTTTGAAGACGCCACGTTGATTAGTATTTGTTTGGCAGCCATCAATACTGAACGTTTTCAGTGAATTTGTGAAAATGGTCATCGTTATGTGGTACAATACTTTTATTTCAAAGGCCTCAGCCCAACCAATATGAAAGCTGAACTGGATTCTACTCTGGCTGAGTCTGCTTCTTCGTTTACAACAGTAAAATATTAGGTAGCAGAGTTTAAACGAGGCCGTATGAGCTGCCAAGGCGAGCATCGCAGTGGTCGACCAAATGCGGTGACGACTCCAGAAATGGTGAAGAAAATTCACAAAGCGGTACTGAATGATCGTCGACTGAAAGTGCGCGAGCTAGCAGACACAGTAGCCATTTCAAAAAGTGCGGTTCATCGCATATTATCTGAACATTTGGACAATGAGAAAGCTGTGTGGAAGATGGGTGCCGCGATTGCTCACAATCGAGCAAAATCGGTGTCGTGAAGATGTTTCAATTGAGTGTTTAGCGAAGTTTCACAGCAACAAAGAATTTTTGCGTCGTTTCATAACCATGGATTAAACATGGGTCCATCACTTAACACCCGAGACAAAATAACAATAAAAACAATGGACTCAAAAGGGACATCCGGCTCCAAAGAAGGCGAAGACCGGTTCATCTGCAGGCAAGGTTATGACATCAGTTTTTTGAGATGCGCGTGGGATAATTTTCATTGTCTATCTTGAAAAAGGTAAAACTATCAACGGCGAGTATTATGCGAACTTATTGCAACGTTTCAGCGATGAAATCAAGCAAAAACGGCAGCATTTGGTTAAGAAGAAAGTGTTGTTTCATCAAGGCAATGCACCAACTCACAAATCCGTTATTGCAATGGGCAAAATTAACGAATTAAAAGTTTGAATTGCTACCTCATGCACCCTATTCACCAGATTTAGCCCCCTTGGATTATTTTCTGTTTCCAAACTTGAAAAAATGGCTCAGTGGTCCAAGATTTTCCAACGATGAAGAAGTGATGTCGGCAGTTAATGGCTATTTTGAGTAGCAAGACAGTTCTTATTATAAAAAGGGTATCGAACTTATTGAACAACGCCGGGAAAAGTGTATAGAGCTCAAAGGAGATTATTTTAAAAAATAAATACATTTTTTTACAAAAATTTTGTGTTTTCTTCGTTGGGTCGGGTACTTCTGGGACCACCCTCGTATGAGTCATTATTTTAACTGCTTGTAGGACTCGTCAAAAGGAGTTGATATTCCAAAAATCACCTTTATAAAAGTTGCATAATAAAAGAAATAGTAAAATATTAAAATTTAATAAACTAAGAATGTTATTACACAGATTTTTTGATATTCTCGACCTCTGCCATGTAAAATCTTAGCGTTTTTTGTTTACTACTCTTATCGTTTTACTATATTTGGCAAACTTTTTGTGTTATTGTATGGTTTTCAGTGCGAGTCTTCGGTTCGATCAGTTCCATCAGTCTTTTAAAAGTGCGTATACTTTCATTTGCCTTATTATTTTGTGCGAAAAAATGACCAATGTTCACGAAAACGGTGACAAACTAACATACGGAGAGTGTCAACAAAATGCAGACGCAGCATCCAGGTTGTATGCGGAAAGATTTCCTTTAACAAATCATCCCGCTCCACGGTAAATTTAGTTATTAGACTTCATGGCACAGGATCATCCTAGAAGAGTTGCATTTGTGTATTTATTTAGGCAGCAGCGGTGGCCGCAGTAGTAGACTCTTCGGTCTCCTGATCAGTCGCCGTGCGCTGTGCGGGTTCGAGTCCTGTCCCAGGAGAAATTTTTCTCTTGGCTATGGATGTTGTTATTGTCCGTAGGTGGTAGACGGTCTCTGACTGTCGAACGCGGAGGTACCACCCGGCGGATCTCGTAGGCGGAGCCAGAATGTGTGCATGTTGCATGCACACGTGTTCCATCGCCAGAGTCCGTGTGGCGTTTTTTTAGAGGAAAGCGACTTTAAAGTAAAATACAATCTGACAACGCCGCAATGCCAGACGCAAATTACAACGGAACTCAGTGTAAATAAAATAAAGAAGGTGTTCAAAATGTCGTCCGCCACTTTCCGCACAAGCTTCATTACGACGAACCCAGATTCTGCTGTGATCTGGGGTCCTAGGCGATTCATTTTCCACCCAAATCCGGTCTCACGACATTTTAGCGCCCCAAATCACCCGAATGCATAAAGATTTACTCGCTTGTAGCAGTTTGCCGCGAAACTGACTTATTTTTAATAGCAACACAACAATCAGAAGTAAAAACTACAATTGAACAACTAACATTTTGTTTACGTTTACAATTTTATTCTCTTCCAGATCTACTTGCCTTTGTAAATAGTACCCAGCAGTTACTATGTATAAGGTTTGGTATGTGTTTCCATAGATCTTAGGTTAATGCATGTTACTTAAGCTACGTGTATACGTATGTATCTATACTGTGTACTATTCTCTTTATATACGAAAACGGTCGAAGGCAGGAGGTTAAACAAGAAGAAAATCTCACTTTGGTCTTTCATGAAATTTTTATTTTCATTTTTATATTAAATAGCTGCGCGTATATTTTCCAGACATAGAAAACTTTTTTTAATACACATTCGCGGTAATAACTTGCGTTTTGAGCTCTATCGTGAAGGTGTAAATATTAACATTAACTCACTTGTAGGTCGACAGTTTCAAAACGCGAGCCATCATGAAATTTCGTTTATTTAGTTGTACATTTACATCAAACAGTTCGTCACTAAAATCTTCCAGAAGAATTTTTTGAGAAGAAATTTCTTAAACTGTACACATTTAATGTTGATCCAAATTCAAGAAACTAATGATAAACGTCTATTTTCTTGTTGGCTTTCTCGAAAGTGCGTAATTTACTAGTTTTGCATTTTTCAGAAATTATCAACAAACTAGGATTGAAATTCCACAGTCGCTAACAAGATAAATCACTAAATCACTCCTATGAGGGAACTTTAATTTATTCTAAATTTCTTTTTGGTCTGTTGCAACTTAGGTTCTTGAATTTGGACTAGTTAACTATAATATAAACTTAGTCATTCAGGACCATAGATTATTTTCAAAATCCGAAACGTTTTCGGATGTCCTGAATGTTTAATTTTCCAAATTCGTTTTTTACATGTTCCTGTGAAAGCCTTTTGGAATATCCTATCCATATTTAAGTATCTGTATGTTTGGAAATCTGATCAAAAAAGAGCATTGAAAGGTTTTGTTAGCTTTCACCGACAACGAAAAGAAAATATTTTGAAAAAATTGGTGGAAATGTCTATAAACAAAGAGACTGACTGTGATCGCGCCAAACGTTACATGTACTTAACTATGTCTTCTTCTATATCTGAAGTAATATCCAAAGTGCTTACATATACCATTCGCAGGTCTGAATCTATGTGCGCATTTGAATAATCTCGGTAACCACTTTTTGCCACAATAATTCGTTTTTATGTTTTTCTCACACAAATCCAACAGCGATTTGAATATTTTTAGGTGACTTCAATTTTGAGAAATCTCAGCTTTTTTTTGTAGAGGATTCATGTTTTATTTTTGAGCAATGGAAGTCAAGATATTTCGTATATTTTCCGTAATTTATTTATATTAATGCGTGGTGATTTTTTGCAGACGCACTTTATGTTAAGACCTGTGAACACGTTACTTTTGTGACGAACCGTGAGATCGCTAATGTATCTGTACCTTTAGTTCAGGATGTTATTTTTTCGCGATTTTCCTTATCAGAAGCGCATTTACTGCAGATTGTACGTTTGTATTAAAACACATCCCATATTTGCACTAGACTTTATTATCGTAGAGAATAAGATGTAGGAAAGTAAGGCTATACGTTTCTAAGTTTTATATAGTAACAAATATATAAGTGATTTGCGAAATTGTGCGTGGTACTTCTTTTTATATAGACACACAGAAAATTCTTTAATTTTTGGAGAATTTTGTTCTTGGCAAAGCCTATACATATATTGATGGAAATGGATGTAAGTATCATATAAACGCCTAAATACGATGAATAGGAATACAGTGTACTATCCAAACCATAGTTACTTAGAGTAAAGCATGTGAGGTTTCATTTGTCATAATCGATTTTTTGATAGCTAACTTTTAGTTTCTAGCATAATCATCAAGTGTACATAAGATATTTTGTTAGATGGTTATCAGGTTACTAATAAACATTATGTTATGATAAGAAATCCATGTTTTTTATTCCCACCCCTCTAACAGAAAGCGCGAGTGCTGGAGATATGTTGACTTAGTGCAGATTTTTGAAAGCATCAAAGCAAATTACAAGAATTATAAGATTTTGGAAATAATTTTAGGGGTTATTTTTTAATACTTTTTCTTTAAATTTGAGCAAAGTCAATTCAAAGCTTAGTTACAAATTGTGTATCTTTATAAAAATTCACAACGATTTATCTAGTGTATCATGCACAAATTATATGCATAAATCCTTTTTATTTCATTATACCTATGGTTAAACTTATAATAGTTCAGAACAAACTGTTGTTCAAAGCCAAAACAACACGAGCATTTTTCAACAATTTTTCAAACTTGTTTGATTAATCTTCTCTTGAAAATCACATCATAGGTATTTGATAGTAGTCTAATCATATTAGACGAAAATACCTCTAGTTTGCGAAATGATTGTAAAGTCTGGTTTTATTGCTGCAAGTTGTTCAAGGGGGTATTCAAAACAAATGGGTACACCAATTTTCATGGGAAACCTTTATTCGACAACAAAGAATGTGAAAACGTGTTTTTGGGATTCAATCGAAAGTGCTGGCAGGAACGAAAAAACTCGTCGTATACGATTTTTAGGCATTTATCAGACATACAAAATGAGACGACACGTAAAAAGATCCGACTAATTGTAAAAAGGTTATATCCGAAAATTGCAGGTTTTGGCACTTGTTGGTAATGCGTCGATAATTTCAACTACTTTAAATTCTTCAAATCCCTAGGATGTATGCTTCTAAATAACAACAAAATTGGAGTATACTGATCAAGCAGTTTTCCCACAAAAATTGGTGTACCTACCCATTTTATACGTCCATGTTTTAAATACCCCGTTGAACAACTTGCACCAATAAAACCAGTCTTTACAATTATTTCGGGGAAAGTTGCTTATATGAGTAGACTATAGTGACAAAAATGTTTTGTGTTGTCTTCAATTTGAACAGCTGTATGCACTGATTTGGGGCTTTTATCTCAAATATAATCACGCTAAAATATCAAAGCTCACAACACAATGCCATATAAAAAATATAATCACTTCTACTATAAATAATAGCCCCTCGAACTACAAAGGCAACATAAACACATACTGAGGCATGAGCTACTATTTTTTTTTCTGGTCTTACAATATCACACACAGTTCATAATTCATTACGAAATCAAAGAAAATATTTCCTTTTGACATTGATTAACGTATTCTACCTTAAGATCGATAACCTAATGCTATATTTCCGCGTCCAAAAAATTATCAAAGATAAAATGAGATACCGTAGCGTCATCTATGAGAATGTGTCACAGCTCCAAGTTTAGTGTCTCACAGATGGCGGTATCATACAGGGTATCCCTTGTTAATCTCACCACCTAAATATTTTGTAAACCACGCATTCTAGAAAAAAAGTTTCAAAAACAAAAGCAGGGTTTCAAGGAAATAAAATGGTGACCTTGACTACGATCTTTAAGGGCCTTTCAAGTCAAGTGGATATTTCCAAATGAAACCTTTTTCACATCGGAATTGAAAAGAGGAGCAAATTTTAAGTCCGAAGATATCCTCAACCTTGACCATAGCCTTCAAGGTCAAATCAAGACATTGAAAATAATTTCTTCTTGCAAACATATGTGACAGCAATGAGGTTCGTAGGGATCCCAAAGGTGACTATGACCTTCAAGTTCAAAATTCCCAAAATAAACTGCAAAAGGAGGTAAAATTATGGTGACCTTGACTACGACTTTCAAGGTCAAGTGGATATTTCCAAATGAAACCTCCCCATTTCATATCAGAATTGAAAAGAGGGACTAATTTTACGTCCGAAGCTCTCTTTGGCCATGACCTTGACCACAGCCTTCAAGTTCAAATCAAGGCGTTGAAAACAATTTATTCTGGCACACATGTTTGACAGTAACGTATGAGGTTTGTGGGGATCCCAAAAGCGACCTTGAGCATGACCTTGCAAGTTCAATTTTTTTCAATTTTAAGCGTGACACGACCTTGACTTTGAGGTCAAGGTCATAATCGTACGTAAAATGTCTTACTTTTTACAGTTCCAAAATAAAAATGAGGCGTTTCCGTTGAAAATTTTGACTTGATCTTGAAGCTCAAGGTCACCACTGTACTGTTGAACATTCTTGCTAGAGCAAATTGTTTTCGATGTCTTGATTTGAACCTTGAAGTCAATGACCAAGGAGATGTTCTGACGTAAAATTTGCTCCTCTCTTTTAAAGTCGGATGTGAAAATCCTTGAAATAACTTTGAAGCCAATGCCTCTATCATTTCCCTCACGAAACCCTACAACTTTCGTTTGAAACTTTTTTTAGAACGCGCATTTTTCAAAATCTTTAGAATAAAACGGGACACCATGTAAATGGAGAAACAGCTGTGACATATTCTCGTAGATGACTAGTATCTCATTTTATCTTGGATAATTTTCTGCTCGCGGAAATCCAGTACTTCTAGTAGAATGCGTTAATCAATGCTTTCGACTAATACTGAATTTGTACGAATGAATTTTTGATATTTCGATATAGGGTTTACCCCAAAAGAAATGCAGTTCCGCCCTATCCAAACGGCGTTACGCCTCACCAAACCCAACTCGACCGAAAAAAAGAAACGAGTAGAATAACTAACAGAAAGTTAGAAAGTGTTAGCACTCTCCCAGTGATCGATTTTGGTAATAGATGGCACTAATTTGTGCTGTCTTATTTTTGAATGTGTGCATGGCTCTATTCGTTTTCGAAGACCCGTATTTTTCAACATTTCCTTGGTAGAAGTGTCACTCCCCAGGCCATTCTCTTGATAAATAGGAGAAAAGTATGGAAGTTTCGCTGTAATTGATCATTCACTAAGTTAATTTTGTAATAAAATAACCAATAATATTGAAGAGAATTTAATTGTAAACTCAAGGAACTAAAGGTGCTGCTAAGAATATGTCGCAAGATACCTGTGGATAGTATAGTGTTTTTTTTTTTTATTTTGTATGGCTGTAAAGGAATTCTGTATCTATCTGTCTTGCCGAGATTGGACGCATTTACAAACTTACTATATTCCGACAAAAGCCGTGGGAAAACGCCGAATGTGTAATAGAACTCCTCTATTCTATTAGTTATTCTTCTTCCTCGTTTTCAAGAAATGGCCAAAATGTTTGACTAGGGTTGACTTTGGTCTAGTAATATTTGGCATTTTTACAAGGAATTATATTCTTCCCCAGATCGTTTTCGGCTCGCCGAGCAAATACAGGGTGTCCGCAAAGTTGGGGTTTTCCTTTGCACGACGTGTAGATCTTGAAAACATAAGCAATTTTTCTTAGTACCATATACACCAATGTCTTAAGGGAACCGAGATAAAGGGCTCTGCAACATCAAAAATATCTGAATACCGTCCTGTAGCCGCGACTCGCGACATCCCCAATTGGCACTAGGACACTAGCTCAACCCGACGACAGAACTGGGTCGGGGTCAGTGTGTCAGGTCAGTATGCAACCTTCAACCGACGGTTACGGTCACGCGTGAAGAGGTAAACGAACCCGTATAATCGATTGCGTTTCAAAAAACAACAAGCACCAGAGACGTGGCTAGAGAAGTGCAAGTATCAAAAACTAAAAGTGTGGCAAACGCTGCGTGAAGAGGGGCTGTATCCGTTTCACGTCCAACGTGTACAAGCCCTTCAACCTGACGATTTTCCAGCAAGAGTACGGTTTTGTGAGTGGTTGTGGCATCAACATGACAATAATCCGGACTTTTTGAAGTGCATATTGGTGACAGACGAATCTACGTTCACGCGTAATGGGGTGAATAACTTTCGCAACACTCATGTTTGGTCCGTCGGGCACATTTTCAACAAACATTTTCGGTGAATGTTTGGGCTGGCATAGTGAACGGTATGCTCATTGGACCATTTATTCTCCCAAATCGACTGGACGGGATGCAATACCTAGACTTTTTACGCAACATTTTGCCTTCCTTGTTTGCCTGCGTCTGCTCGGTAGCGCATCAGCTGATTTCATTTTCTGTTGGAGCGGTATGATTTCAGGCAGAGACGTACTTAGCCCTTCTCGTCAACTGGAGAGTGAGTACTTTTTCCTTTATTTTTTTTTTACTTGGTCGCCCTCGTTTCACTACACATTACCTTTGTTATTTCAAGGGTAGTTGTTTCTGAAAAGGAAAACCCCAACTTTGCGGACACCCTGTATAGCGTGATCACGAATTTAACATTTGTTAGCTTGTTGAAAGAACGGAATACGCCTGGTAAATGTTCCACAGATAGTTTTGCTGCAGAGAGAACCAAATTAAATGATTTTAGCAACCACATTGCATTCTTTTGTAGAGAACCCCAGAAAAACAGAAAAATATGTATAAGCGATCACATTAAGAATAAAAAACTTACTAAATAGGTAATACCTGGCGTGCACTATAATTAACCGCATTTGATAATAGTGTCTTCAGAGACTATGTTAGATCTCTCTCGCGCTCAGCGATTTTGTTAATGGATGTTTGCAGAATATTTAGGAACTTTGGCAACACTAAATTTTTTGTACTTTCATATTGTTTTTCGGGATCAAATATGGCACTTTTGCACTTGCTCAAATATTAAATCGCTTATATCTGGAAAACTATAGAGACAAGTACATTAGAAAACCTTAATTGCCCAGAATGACCCAAAAAACCTAAATAAGATTATGCTAAAAAACGAATCAAAATATTTTTTATTACTCCTTGGACTATATTATCCAATTGGGGTTAAGAAAAGTCCTTATTTGTGATGTGTGGTAATGTTTGCCGGAAATATTTATCGCTCTACCACAGTCACATGAAGAGTCAACTTTCGTATGTTTGCAGAATTTTGATACGTTCTTGTAAAACGATCCATAATTAAGGTTAGCTTTCCTCCCAATTTCACGAGTATCCATCTTGGTAGAATGGCAGCTAATTATCTAGTAATATCTCAAAACTTCCCATATCGGCACAG